TCAAAGTACAAACAAACAACAAATTCTAGATTTGAAAAAACCCAGTGCAGATTGGTAATGCTGGTGGCCCATTATTCTGAAGCCACAACACTCCGAAAAATGTCCCATTTGACCGGAAGCCCATTTGTCGGACAGCCTGTTATTCCAAAAAAAACAAACGATCATTACGCTGAAGGCACGTTGTTCCGAAATTACACACTCTGGTATCACCGGCTTACGTAACTAACATACTTTTTTGAACCCAAACTATGATCTTTTTCTTTATATTTTCAGAACAAAGGGCCTTCAGAGCTTTTGTTTTCTCAATAATGGTCTGTTGGATAAATAGGCTTTTGGTCCCACGGGACGTTTTTCAGAAACTTGCATGTAACTTACTGCCATAACGTTTAATGCAACATTTATGTTGGGGTGTAACAGTTCAACACTGGAGGTTACTGGAAAAGAATATTTGAAAAAAGTAACCTCTGAAAATAATCCTCATATATGAACACTGTTTTGATTCCTGTTTGCCCCTCTTTGAAGTTTGAAGTCAAACATTTTTACCCCATTTTCATAGAAATGGAAGAAATAATGTTTAAGATGATGTTTTCATCCTTTCTACTTCGCTCCCAAACACCAGTTTTCCTCAGCTGATATCTTAACGGCTCGGAAACAGAAAAGCTTCCGAAAACAAACAGCCGATGTTAAACGGGAGCTGAGGGACTCAGTGCATGAAAATCCTCATAAAAAAGGCCTGTGACATCTGTTTCCTTCCCCTGGTGACCCCTGGGATGTCATGGTGGGGTCATGGGCACCAGCAGAGGTCACACAGAGGGGAAACCCTGCCAACCGCCCAGTCAACGGCAGACCACCTACAGTACTAACCTACCAGAGGACAAAGACCACCAACTCATCTTTGGGGGAAAGTTTAATTTAATTTGTTAAAGTGGTGATGGGTAACATCTTGTTTTTATTGCCATAATAATTGCAGCTATGAGTCGTTAGATCCTTCCAGATTGTTCAAATAATTCAAATAGTAAAGTCTTGAAGGAGACCAGCTTACTGGAAATCTTCTTGAGCTTTCAGCCACATGTACTGACTTTCTGTGGCGGAGTCTGTTCGGTTGTCATCTCATGACCTAAATATGTATGTATGTATATATATGTATTGAAAGTGATGAAAGATGGGGCTGAAAGCTATGTAACATTTACTGTAAGTGGACCTTTACATTTTATTTATAGAGTGCCTTTCATGGTATTCACAAACACTTCACATAAGTTAAAATAGGTTAAATGGGTAATAGAAACGACACACTAAAAAAATCTATCAATCTTTCCATCTATATATACACACACACACAATGAATTGATTAAAAGCAGTTCTGAAGATGTGGGTTTTGATTATTCTTTTGAACGTGGATGGATCAGTACAGTCTAGGACGAGGGAGGGGGCAGCTATGGAGAATGCTCTATTGCCCCAGGTATGATGCTTGGTCTTGAGTGGTGGAGACAGGAAAGTACTTGTACTTTACTTGAGTAAGTGATAATGTAGCTCTCAGCAAGCATTAATTAGCTAACCACAACACGCACACACATTGAAGAAAGTTACAACGTACTTACACTCTAAATCTTTTGTCAGGCAGTCTCTCTTTTTCTTTTCACATGACCAGTGAAGCCTTTGTTGTGGTTATGATGTGTTTCACTCACACAGGTGCTTTCACTTCCCGTTTGATTGGAGTGAACAGGCTGTAATTAACTGACATCTCAAACTATCTGAAACTAAACTACCTACACATCAGCATTTAATCTGGAATTCAATAAGTTATGATTATTAAATGTAATTTGTGGTTGTGCATCTCTTTTGTCATCATTTACTATCAGGGGTAGAATAAGAGTCACTTTAAGTTGGTTTAAGTTGACAGTACAAGAGCAAATGTAATTCAACCACTGAATTGCCACAAATAACCATCACTGTTTCTGCACACTTTAATCCCACTGTGGCATACACAGTGGACTTAATGTTAGCAAATGAAGCCGAACACTGTCTTTTAATTGTTCTTTTCTTCCAGAAACAAATATTTCTGTTGTATCTTTGTTTAATTTTATTCTAAAAGAGAAAAATAAGCAAAACTGCAGAGGTCAGAGTGTCTCATATTAATGTTCAAATGACACAAAAAAAGAAGAAGCATTTGCGCAAGCAACCAGTGCCGAGGAGAAAAATCCGCTGGAGCAACAAACATTGTTGGGAACTGTAAAAAGGTGTGAAAAAATTCTCTCCAGACAACAAAACTTTGTGGAGAAAGTCAATGTGTTTACAGAGTTATTGCTGAATGACCTCCACCATGAGCCCCAGTACACGCTGCCAAAATGTTATTTAATCCCCCAAATACTTTCACACATCTGTTAGACCAAAGTCAGCTGTTGAGATGTTGAGTTGACCTAATGAGTTCAAAATGAAGTCCTCTGTCATTAATAAGTCTGTGTGCGTACTTGCCTTGTTGTGATCTATTGTATGAAGAGATCATGATGTCAGTGAGATTTCCTGAATAAATAAAGCTTAAAGGACCAGTGTGTAGGATTTAATGGCATCTAGCAGTGAAGTTGCAGAGCTCTTTCAATACAGCTCTGCCTTCCAAGCGTGTAGGAGAACGTGAAAGGCCATATGTGTTTGGTTTGTCCGTTCTGAGCTACTGTAGAAACAATAAAAACAAACAATAGATCGGCCTAAATGTTACACACTGGACCTTTAACTAACCAACTATCAACAATATGTCCAATAAATTCTGCACTATCCCCTTAAGCTAAGCGTTTACTTCTTCTTCAGTCAAGTGTTGTGGAGGAGTAGACAAACATCCCAGAGTCCCTGCAGGTTCTTCAATGGACCCTCATTCAGATAAGTGTTGGTTCATCTCATGGTTTATACAGACGAGTCTATTCAGTGCGGTTGAGCCGAGAGGAAGTGCCACATCGGTAGTCCACCACACTGGGCCTTTTGTGTTTTTCGCAACTTTAACGCCCACCATAGTTTCTTCTACATGCTTCACAGCTCGTTCTCATTACCCGGTCGTCAAATACAGATGCGAGTGGTGTTCAGTTAGTTGCAATCTGTGAACTTTACTTCTGGTCTGTTCTATTTGTATTCTATTTAATTTATCCAATTTTTAAACTTTGATCTAAATTCTCCAGAATGACACATATTCGCAAAAGAAAAGTTCAGTTTTCTTATCTAACACAGCTGTGGTTTGTTTAGGTTTAGGCACACAAACCACTTGGTTAGGGTTATAGGGAAAGATCATGGTTTGTGTTAAAATAAGCACATGGTTAAGGTAAGGGGATGTTTGTTGTCATGGTTACAATAATAACCACAACTGGTGGCTCCCCTAGTCACGCATGTTTTCATATTACAGATAAACAGTGCACTAAAATATGTTTTTGAAAAGATTTTAGTTGAGAAATAGGCAACACAATGACAGAATCTTGATTCGTATTTGATCAGCACGGCCTAGTTTGACAGTTTTATCGTCTATGTTACTCAAAATTGGACCATAATTACATAATGTATGGAAGAACACTAGGAACCTGCGATTGAGACTAAACTAATTAGGAAACTGTTTATTGAACTAATAAATCAAGTGAGGAGTAGGGTCATTTGGCCCTATGACTCAATACTATCTGGCTTCTTTTTATGCAGCCCATGCAGCTGCCCCCTACTGGTCATTAGAAAGAATGCATATTTAACAAACTTAAGTGTTGGCTTCACAACGAAAGCTCTGTCCCCTAATTATATACTGTCAGTGTATAAAACGTGATATAAGAGCAGTACTTCCTTTTTGTTTGGTTCTAATTTACAAGAATCATAATAACTTCAGTCACTTCAACACAAACATATATATCGTTTTGGGACATTTGCTGAAACAGGATAGTTCTTATAGGGACTATTTCTTTGGTACAAAGTAGTTCAACTAAGATGTTAAATGCTCATTCTGGGAATAATTCATGTTATATGCAAAGCAAAACTTATTGTTTTAGTTTATAAGAGAACATTTTTAAACATGATCTTCACCATTTCAAAAGGTCAAGAGCATGAAGTTAAAACTATTGTATTTAAATAGAGTCACTTAGAACCACAGAATATACAGGCAGCTAACAAAGTAAATAAAGTCATTTTTCTTCTGTTTCTCACAGTTGTCATAACTTTTTGATCTTTGTGAAGCGCTGACAACTAATGATGGATGTGATTGCAACTGTATTTTCCCACACTACTTCATAAAAATATGGAAAAGTAAAAGAAATCCCACAACTTTAAGTAATACTCCCAAAAAGTACTGTCACCACAAAGCTGCACAACTGCAATAACAGGAGTAAACGTAGTTAGTTACTTCCACTCTTTTTCATGGCATCCTCACCAGCCGCAACATGCCTTGTGAGAAGCAGAGCATGGCGGTGGCTCGGCACGCTTCACTTGTCCTTAAGAAAAGAAACCTGTGCAGGTGAAAAAAGTTGTATGCCTCTTTTTTTTGTGAAACAAAACAAAAAACTGGGACAAAAGTGCTTTACCAACTCTGTGTTGTTTTTAAATCAATCTTCACTAAACAGGTGAGATACTGTATTCTGAAGGCTCGAAGGATCTCAGCATATAACAAGTCAGTGGTATGATGCCTTCAGGTACCAGGGGAAAGGTCCATCACTTCCATTTTACTGTGAAACCTGAGACTTTTGCTTATCTTCCTCCTCCCCCATTTGCTCAACTCTTTTAAAAGCCTCTTGGTGTTAATCCTCAGGTCAAATATTGTGAGAGTTTCTGTTGATGTGTGTGAGCCCAGATCTTCCCTTTAGATCAGCAGGAAGCATCAACAGATCAGCAGCACAGGTAAAAGATCTGGTGATCGGCAGAGATTCATCCACGGCTTTATGACCTGCTGGACAACCTAAGGGTATCATATTGGCTTGTCAAACAACCAGATTAGTTGTAAATAAAACAACCTGTTAAGCTTATTGTATATGGGAGAAACAAAGACACAGTGAAATTGCATCTTTAATGGGATTGTGGTGAGACATCAAACTGTAAACTAATGGAATATCAGCAGAAACGACGGAAAACCTTTGATCTGACATAGTTTTTATGGGATAGTTTTCTGATTCCTTTACTGGTTAGATATGTATGTTCACACCTATCACTACACGAGGAAAACACAAGACAGATTGACACTTTTTGGTAGTGTTAGTTACAAATCGACAGACATACCAGCGCACAGGTTGCTCATAACAGCGTAGGTAACTTGCATAGGGGGTGGCGTAGGCTTGCCGTAGAGCCGACACACAACTATGAAACAGCCTTTAGGGGAACCCCACATCAATGTAACATTATCTACCTCTAAACGTGGATCTGACTGGGGGATAAGGTAATTCACTTGAGACGGTCTGATTATGTTTTTTAAACCTTTTAAACCTTTTGTTGATGGGTAGATTTTATCTTTGTTTGAACAGAATTACTCACAAGGCATCTGTCACAGCACTAGCCTATGGTCCTAGAACTCAGTGCTATTGAGATGGAATATGGAAAACATAGTCCAAAAGCAAGCAACAGTATCAGGATGAAGAAGACTGTGAAAGGGATAGTTGTTGTTTTTGACGCCTTCACCTGAAGGAACATATTTTTCTTACTTTCCAGTCATGAATCTTGAAAACTATCACGCTTTGTAGACCCACAAAACTCTATCACACCCGACATACCTCTGATGGAGATCTGCATTAAGCTACTCATGTGGCACTATCACGAGTCGCCATAAGCAGCAACACAAAACATTCACAATAACACAAAGATGAGCTGACGGGAAGAAAGTGTAGAGCCTGGGTGGCAGCAGGGAACTATCTTACAGGAGTGTTTGAGGTTAAAGATGGCATGTCAGCAGGGTGTGTGGCATCATGGACGACAGTCAAATAGCTCAGATGGCATTTGTGATTATCCATACAACATGAACCTGTTCCCTCCTCCCTCACAGCTTTGTTATGTCTCTCTGTCTGTCTGTCAGTTTCCTGCAGCACAGGCAGCTATTCATTAGAGATGCTATCAGATGGCAAAAGACACTTGTTTTTTCAGCAGTATGATATCGAGGTGAGATCTATGGGAACCGTATCTAAATCTGCCCCAGTGAGACAGTTGTGTTTGTGTTTATGGAAACTTTGAGTACAGAGCGAGTTCATGACTGTTATCAGACAAACATCATGCGTCTTTCAGTTGGACAGCCCCACAACAGATATATAATTTAAATAATTTCTAAAATGGTATCTAATGGGTTTTGAGCAGGTTTTTTATGGGTATGTGTAACATGTTTTTGAAGCTGTTAAAAGCTCCAGTGTGTAACATTTAGGACGATGTATTGTCAGAAATGGAATATAATATTACAAGCACATGCAAAATCATTCCGATGAGGAGAAAACCTCCATCACGTGAGAGGAAAAGAAAAAAAATAAAGGAGATTCCCTGTCTGACATGTTAAGCCCTCATGATTTATACCTGATGTTGACAGGGTTTTGAAGTAATAAGCCAGGAACGTGCTTTGTGCAAGGCCACGCTACACTGGCGAAGACTGCAGCCAAGCATTCAGAAGAAACCACACGGCATTCAGTCACGAATCTATGTGAGGTGTTCACAATGCAAGATTCAACTGTGGTTAACAGCTACCGAGATGATATTAGTGATCATGAACGAGTTACGCAAGACTGACTCACTCTGTGATACTGTATTTCAATTAAAGTAATTGTTCTATGCCTACTTCATCAACAGGATGTGTATGTTGTACAAGACTCACAGTCATACAAGAAGTCAGAGAAGTTTGGTGCATCATAGTTATTGCAACAGCAGGTGTTTAAACTACGTCTGATCTAATTATGATCGTATCAGAGCGCACGGTTTGTGAGTTCGGCAGCTCACTGTTGTTTCACGTTCAGCCAGTTTTCTTCACCGCGCCGGCGCCTTGATTCTGTTGGTGCTGAGAAACAAACGTTGACCCCAGTTGGTTGGCGTGTGGGGGCGATGAGTGTGTGAAGAACAACTATGCAGAAAGGTGAAAATGAGTCATATTACAAAACATTATCTGAGCAGGTACCAACACACATAAACACAAGGGAGGTTTGGTGTGGTTAAAGGGGCAGCATGTGTACAAAACACAAGCTCTAATCCAGTTGTTAATGTCAGTAGAGAGTACAAATTTTCCATTTTATGCAACTTTATACTTCTACTCCACTAGGCTACATCTCAAAGGCATTATATATATATTTGTCTCTTTTTTCATACCCTTTCTCGTCAAAAAACTCAATAGGAAACAGTGTGAGCACAACTATGGCAAGTGTGTTAGGTATAAGATGGTCTGTGAACTGTTTTGTTTACATTTTATAAATAATAATAATAAAATAAATGTCTTTTTCTTTATACATTTTGCTAATCTGGTGTTTTGTTTGATCGTGTTTCATCAATAAAAATGAACGTTGTTGCGTTTTCCTGATCTCCATCCTTAATTTGGTCATTATAACTGAGGAATACCGGGCTTATCCTTTAATGTCCATCCCTGAGAGTCCTGGAAGTGACTCCAGGTGGATGTTTGTAGCTGAATCACTGAGCAATACAAAGCAGCTCACTGAACAGAACGAGGACTTAACAGGCTTCCTAAATGACTCAAACGCTTCCTACAGAGGCAGTTTTAAACAATGAGCTGATGTTTGCTCTGTCAGTCTGCGTCTCAGCCCGACTCAGATTGTTCAGGTATTAATGGACGGCCTCTATTTACTTTGAGCTGTTTGCTGCTGGATCATCTTACACCTTTTTCTTTACCTGCAGGAAACCTCTCCTGACCTGCACAGAGACCAGACAATGAGTGACAAACTGGAGCTGGTTTTCCAGGTTTGGTTGTTTTTCTTCCCTGTTTGATCCTTTAGTACCAATAACACACTTTAAAAATCATTTGTTATGTAAAGGTAAAGATCCTGCACTGAAAATGTTACTTAAACCTACTACAAGCAATTTTAACTACTGATGAAACAGTCTCACTGATGCCTCTATATGACCTACTTAAACAAACAAGACCATCAGCAGGAAGATTGGCTCTTTCTATGTAGTTATTCTTCATGTCTGCCACAGGGTTGGATTTGTTCGGATTCCCCTTGAAATCAATGAAACAAGGCGGTAGAAACACGCTCTCTACAGGGGCCGCCAGAATCAACAAAAAAAGTTCCATGTTGTTGCTTTAAATGTCCAGTGTGGAGGATTTAGTGGCATAGTTGAAGATGAATGTTCGTATGTACAGCCAGTGTTTGGTTTGTCCGTTCTGGGTTACTGTAGAAAGATGGAGGGTCAACGTCGCGGACTCCATGAAAGGCGTCCTGCAGCATCTGTAGATACCAACGACTAATTCTAAGGTAACAAAAACACAACGATTCCTGTTGTCAGGTGATTATTCACTCATGAAAACATAGGTGTTATCAGGGAACTATACTTAAGGTATTAAAAGTTAAAGTACTTACCACCTTTATGAAACTGGAAGCATAAAACGTTGCATTCAAAATGACCTAAATGATTATAAATGATTGATAAATTGTTGTATGTTTTGTTTTTAAAATCTTCATTTGTAAAGTAACTAGTAACTAAAGCTCTCAGATAAACGTATTAATAAGTTATTTACCACAACAGAAAATCCTAAAGCTCAAGTATTTAACTTGTTTTTTTTAAATATTATCTATATGATTTATTATGTTTCAGGTAGTTTAAATAATAAGGATAGACCTTTAAAGTTAACATGGCAGTGGAGATTAGCTGGTGTTAGCTTAACCCTTAATGGCAGGGTAACAAAACAGATTATTGCCAGACACAATGTTGATATTGGACAATTCTGCAAAACCCCTTTACTTTAAATGAGTATAAATATCTGTGTACGTCATGGTAGACGATCCTATAAAAACTGTGTGTATTTACTAACTGAACTTTAGGTTAAAAATATATTTATTATATTTGACCATCTGTTATTCTTCTCTGCTCTGCTCCAACATCTGGAAAACTGTTCCCGCTTCGTGCTCTCAATACTACTGACATACATTTTCTATTGCATGTCTTTATTAAGCACATTTATAGAAAAATATACTTACAGCTTTACCAAAATATTTTACAAGATGATACAATCCCGATAGCAATTTTTATTTTTGCCTTTTATGACAAAAGAATGGAAAAAGAATGGAGCTTTAATCAACAGATAATCTTATTGATCGATCCTCTCAAGTTTGTTAAATATAAAGCTACAGTGAGCAGCTGCTTAGCGTAGCTTAGCATAAAGACTGGAAACAGGAGAAAACTGCAAGCCTGGCTCTGTCTGAATGTAACAACATCTCGCTACCAGCGCCTCTAAAGCTCGCTAAATAACAGCTTGGTTGTTTAATCTGTACAAAAAGTGCGTGTCGAATTAAAAACAACTATTCGCTGTTTTACAAATGGTTACTATTTCTGTAATCGAAATTACGACAGCATCAGAGCGGATGAAAGCACAGCCTGGAACATTACAAACATTGCAAAATGAGATAAAATGTGTCAATTAGTGAGCTTTAGAGGTGCTGGAAGGTGTATTTTGTTACCTTTGGATAAAGCCAGGCTAGCTTTTTCACCCTGTTTCCAGTCTTTATGCTAAGCTAAGCTAACTGGCTGTTTGCTGTGGCGTAATGTTTAACAGACAGGCAAGAGAGTGGTATCCATCCTCTCATCTAACTCTCAGCAAGAAAGCTATAATTCTACATTTCAGGAAATATGCTCATATTTCCCAAAAATGTAGAATCATTACTTTAAAACTGTGTTTATTTCTGTTCAGGGTATAAAGGGGAAAAAACAGACCGTTAAAAGGAAAACGAATGGTGATGGATTTTACATTTTTGGGTGCATTTTATGTGTTTTTCCTTCACCGCACTGCAAGGAGTTGATCCTGGCTGAGTTGTAACAGTCAGAGGAGATTTCTCTCTCAGGTCTTCAGCTCTATCAGAAAATAAAACCTGACAGTCTTTTAGCGTCACATCTTCGTCTTCTTGTGATTCCTCAGCGTCGTCACGAGGCCGAAGACAATCTGTGAGCAGCAGGATGATGTTTGTACAGAGGACCCTGAGGTTTCCTGTCCTCTGCACAGAAAACAACGGAAATAAAATCATTAATCGTCACCATCAGGGTCATCAATCTCATGTCAACATCTGAATTAGTTCATCAAAATTCAACACGTCGCACGGCTTTATTCACCTTTTAAATATCGACCTGTTGAACTCTGGTGATCATTATCTGTTTGTTGAGCTTCATGAACAACTGGTTCTGCCTGCTGTGTGTTTATGAGCACTTGAAATGAGGCTTGAAGCTGCTGGTTGGAGATCAGATTTGTGATCATTATTTTCAACTTTCTCAGTCAAATTTTACGGCAAATGTGAGTTTGTAAAGACTTAAATGTAATAATTGCGATGACTGAAGAGGCAAAATTTTAGTTAAAGTTAAAGTTAAATTAGTGTTTTATATTGAATGTGTATATGAATTGTCTGCTGCTCTCAATAACAACCAAAACTCAGCCATATCTGCAGTTTACACAGCAGAAATGTTTCATTATATCATGTGTATTTATGATTGAACGAACAAACTGAGACAAAATATGAATTAAAACAAAAACTACACCAGGAGCTGCAATTTGGGACCATTTTAATCTCAACACGCCCTACCCTGCTTCGAAAAAACATTAGTGGTTGTTAGGCAGGGAAACGCAGCATTTAGCAAAAAATAAAGCCCCTCAGATGTGTTTTTATAGCTTAAAACACAGGATGGAAGTACTGCGGCTTTTTAGATGACAGTTTCTTAGATTTGTAATTTTCAGTCAGGCCACAAAGTTAACTTCCTCTTCAGCGTCCATCCTCCGAAAGACTGAAATACTGTGAATATCAACAGTGAGCTGGAGGAATCTGGGGGCAAAGAAATTCCCAGAGTCCACAATTTCTGTATATATGGTGTCAAACAGATGGAACTCGTTTTAGTTAAGTGAAATACAAATAAAAGGAAATGTCTTTAGGTTTAGTCAAGCATGAGACTGGGGATTTCTACGTGACCGTGAGTCTATTTCCTTCACAAACTGATACTGCTCATATTACAATAAAAACACTAAAATTAACATTAAAACTAATAAAAACTTAACATTTTTAAAGAATAAAAACTCTGAAATGAGCAAACCCACTCTGGAAACGAAACTAAAATAAAAACTAAAGAAAAATACACAACAAGTGTCTGATTCAGTCTCACCATCTCTTTGTGGAAGTTTGAAAGATGCTGCAGTGTGGAAATCTGCAGCCTCCAGCGGGGCTGCAGGGCCGGGACGAGCCTGACTCTGGGTCAAACTGGGAGATAGACTGCAGGACTGGGGCTGCCAGTGGTGTCCAGTGCTCATGTAGTTGGCTGCTGGACCTCCGTACACGCCGTACTGGTTCGGTGGAGAATACGCACAAGCTGAGACGTAACCAGGCAGACTGGATGAAGTCTGAGGACAGGAAAGAGAAAATAAACAATGTTTCTCCCTCGCTAATGAGAACTTCTGAAAAACACAGAATTATATTCAATGACAAGGTTTTTCAAAATAAGTATATGAATAGATAAAAGTCACCTGAATTATCAGGACTCAACCCCGAGGGATCAGAAATATCCTCTGCAGCTTTTATAGAAATCTGGCCTGCAGGTGTTTGAGAACAAACATACCTGCACAATTCTCAACTTGTTAGGAGCCTCACTGACATAACACATTTCTTAAACTCTAATTATAACATTAACTTGAAGCTTATTCTAACTGAACCTTAAAACCAACTCTTAACCCTTCAAACATCCACATTTCAACAAAATACTTTCCAAATTCGCCCCAAAATTGTCCTTGAATCTCAAAAAACGTCCTCACTTCACAAGAACGTCTTATTTATGTAGTTTTCTATTCAACCGAACACACGTATTTGCGAGCCTTCACTTTTGACGACCATCATTGACCAACATTACCCGTTTCCCAGACCCCAATTTGATCTTAATTTAAATATTTCAACATTAACTCTAAAACCAAATCTTAACTCACTTTGATTCTACTTTTCAAAAATGTTTTTGAATCCAAAAACAATGTCCAAAACATTTCCACATCTTTAAAAATGTGTTCACTTTCACTGATTCCCAACAAAATCCACACTTGTAAAAAAGTCCTTTTGTCTTCCTGCCAATACTTACTCCACCATTCTCAGTTCAATGTGTATTAAACTGCAGGTAACCATTAAACTGACTACAGTCACACTTTGTTTTACTTTATTAATAAACTGAAAGTGTTCTCATATAAGAAGAATGAGAGAAAGAAAGAAGAATGTCCAACATTTCATTTATTATCATTCGTCAATAAGCTGCAGCTGTTTGTAGTTTACTCCTAAACGAGCTGGAAAACAGGAAGTGGGCCTCGATGATAGCCAATAAGAGCTCTGGTTATTACACGTGAATGCCTCAGTGTGCCACTAATTAAAAACAGAGCTGGCAAATGAATAAATGAACAGATCGAAATAAAAAGAGAAAGAATTTTACTTTTTAAAAATGAATTTGTTATTTTCTCTTTCAGTAACTATGATGTCAAATTAGCCCCTAAATCCCTCTTTAATTCAACCTTTTTACTAATATTCTTTGATTTCTTTACAAAGTTAGTTAGTCCCTGTTTTTGTTGTTAAACATCAATAATTCAAATTTACAAGTTTCTGCCGCATTCGGCCTTGAGAAATCAGATTTTCTTAGAGAGTAATTGTTATAGTTTTAGTATTATAGAGTTTATTTCATTTACCTGCTGTGGGTATTTGAGGTCTGGCTCGTTGTTGGTTTTCTCCACTGCACTGATTCCACTGGGAAACGCTCTCATGCTGGTCATACTGGTCCAATCCTCCATTTTGGCTGCGTGTGCATCAGATCCAGACAGTGCTGGAAAAAAAATACTGACTTAACACAAATTTAACTATTTGAGCTGCTTCTTAACAAAAGCACGGCGTAAAAGATCAGTTTGCTTTGTATTCAGTCAATTTAAGCCATATTCAGTCTTCAAATATCAGTTTTTTAAAGGGACTAACAAGCAGGAAGATTAAAATGTTTTACTCAAGAAAATTCTCATATAAGAAATAAAAATTATACAAAATATATCTCACTATTTCCATATTTTTTCCAACCAAACAATCAATTGATTAATGGTGAAAATAATCTGGTAATTAATCCATTATGATCATCATCATTAGTTGCAGTCAACACATAAAAGAGTGAAGAAATAAGTTTCACCTCAACCAGCTGCAGCAGTAAAATCCTGCTTTTACATCAATGCATGAGTCATAATGAACTAATGACAACAGCCACAGGGCACATTTTACATTTTCCTGGTTATTACTGACATTATTTTACATTTTAGTAACATGCAGCTGTGTTTTTAAATGTACTTTTACCACAGGATCTGAATGAGCACAGGGATGATATGAAAATGTAACGTCATATTTATCTTGATTGCCTAATTAATTGCGATATTAACGTGACAATCATGAAAATATACTTCATACTTTTAAAATGGAATCTAAAACAAACTGGCATCACTCTACAGTTTGTTAGAAACACATATTTGGAATCTTTTTCCACATATTCAGTTTAAATATAATATAATATATACATTATTTTGTTGGTTTTGTTCAAAATAAATCAGGAAATTAGTGTAGGACTGTTTACTGGTGAGCTAGACAGCTGTTTCAAGTCAACCCATGTAAGGATATTCACAATTATTAGAAAACATTGATGTGTTTTATCATGATAATATCGGTTATGGTCCTATTATTACCTCTCCATCAATGTCAGTATATAATAAATATATATATATATATATATATATATATATAGGCTATAACTGTATCATATAACCCCGAACCCTCAAACATCCCAGCACTGTTTGTTTTGTTTTAATGTGTGGATCATATTTTTCAATCTTTGTTGCAAAGTCTGTTTAAAATAAAATAAAAGTACTTCTGAACAACGTCTGTACAACGATGTGATGATGAAGCCAAAGACAGGAGATTCCAAAAAATGCATTAGGCTACATATATATGACTTGATATGATAAAGAGGAAATAATTAATATAAATTAGCGATTAAAGGAGATAATATATAATAATATTTGTATTATTTAATCTGTGATTCTCCTGAACCAGTGTGTAGAAATCAATGACAATTTTGGGACAGAAATTCTGTTTATTCTAATTGTCTTATTTCTTTCTCCGTCAACATTTGTGAACAATTCGTTTTTAAAAGGCGGTTTTATTGATTAATAATTACTGATTTATGGAAGACAATTTAAATTTGTTTATCTTTTCAGGTAAACTTCTTGGATATTTTGTTGGCAAATTAAATAGGTTTAAGTTTGTTATTATTTTTCCTTATTTACACCAACATTAAATTAATAACTGTATGAATAAACTCTTTAAAAAAAAATCTAATAATCAAAAGAAAGCACAGACATTTCATTATTTACTTTATTTATCTCAAAACATTATTTTTTTTTGTTCACATTTCTCTTAACAAAATAATGTTGTTTTGCTTTTAATTCAGTTCAGGTTCATTTTAACCACCACTGACTCCATATTTTCAAAATTATTGTATTTGGACAAACATTCATTAAACAAAATTAACTTTATTTGAGTGAGAATATATATATATATATATATAGTGTGTGTCCAAATATATCAGAAATATGTGACTGAATTTAGGAGAAATGTGTATAAACCCATAAGTCATCAGAAGACGCACAGTATCGATTTTTATTATTTCTAATTATTATTTTATCTATTTACCTGTAGCCTGGGTAAGTCTTGTGTTTTAATATTTAATTGTGAACATCAATAATCAGATCATTATATTTATGTGACAGTGGGAGAAGTTTGGTTTTCAGTGAATTTAAAGTATAAATCTGGAAGTTTCTCCACCAACCTGTCGGGTCCATGAAGGCTCGGATGCCCAGGATGTTGTGCCAGCTCCGCGGCAGGCCGACGTGTCCTGCAGGGCCGCCGCCGACCCTGGCCCCGGTGTGGGTGACTGCGGGCCCGGTGTAGGAGGAGTACGGGTAGACGTGTCCGTACTGGAGCTGAGCCGGGGCCGGTTTGCTGCTCTCATACGGCTGTGAAAGAGTCCCGATTTTATTCCTGAGGATCCGGCTGATGGAGCTCACAGACGGCACGTTGTACTTGTCACACACCCCGTCCGACAGCAGCCGGTCCCGGATCTCCCAGGCGAAGATGCCCGGGTCGTCCTGCTTGTAATCCCGGATGCTCTTCACCACGGCGGGGGTGGTGACCCGGGGCTTGCTGCCGCCGATGGCTCCGGGCAGGATGGAGCCGGTGTCGTTATAGCGGGCCAGGATCTTGGACACGCAGCCGTGGGAGACGCGCAGCTGGCGGCTGATGTCGCAGGGCCGCATACCGAGCTGCGCCAGCTCCACGATCCGCAGCCGCACCGCGTTGGGAAGCGGCCGCCCGTTGACGAACATCCCGCCGAGCTGGTTCACCTCCCCGTAGCTCTGCTCTGCGCACACGGGGCAGACACAGGAACATAAAGCGGGTTTCCTTTATCGGTTATTCTTCAGTTATTGATTATAATGTCCGGTTTGGAGCTCAGTCACATCAATGGTGCAAAAAAACTAAATTAAATGGAAAAGAAACTGATGGTTTGTCAGAAAAAAACATGTTTTTTCTTGATAAATAGTCGAAAAAATGTAGATGTAAGTAATTTAGAAGGCGGAGAATATTAGAGGATTTCTTTACTTTCATTGCACATGTTTTTATGCATTTAATAAGTTGGTATACACAAATCAAATACAAAATTTTAATTAACACAAATATGTTCACAAATTCGTTTCATCATAATAATGTTAATAAAACATTTATTGTGTTAATGTCTTGTTTATTAGGCCTGTGGCACTATGACAGCAACAAGGCAGTACATTATCATTAAAGGGCCAATTAGTGTTTGCCATTTCAATTTAAGGTTTATTCTCATTCACCATGAAGAGTTTGATTTATGGAAGAGGATTTAAATTTCATGTTGGCCTGCTGGGATTACAAACTTGTCTCATGTAAACAAACCATTAACAGCCTCAGAAAACATGAATAAATCAGATTATGTTGTCAGATTATTAAAAAGGCCTGTCAATCAATTTAGGGGTGAAGGTTGTATTTTACATTTTTTTTGCTTTAACTTAAAACTACAAAACTAAAAGTGCTTCAGGGATATGTCCAGACTCAATCTCTCTCTTTTATTCATTTAAGCATTTCAGACACTATATAGAGCAGCATATTCAAGTTTTTGTGATACATTTACATTTCTGGACAAACAACAAACTGCACCAATCCAACATTTGTCTCTTCATTCTCATTTCATTCAAAGTGTTAAACCTACAATATACATCTCAAGATGTGCAGGAAGCAGCATTTACTCTCCGTTTGTTTTAATTAATCTGAAATTTTCAGTTTACATTTTAACCACTGATTTGTTTTTTAAAATATACTATCAGAGTCAAATTCAACTGCATGAACAATTTTCAACTTATTTTCTGCTTTTATCTGACTTTTTAATTGAACTACAATTAATCTAAATTTACAACCAACCATGCATGTGAACAACTTTTCCCTGAGTGAGGAGATTATAGTAAATGTCCAGCATAAAATTTTTTCCATTGAATTACATTTCACTAAACTGAAAACTAGAACACCAGACAACCCTTTATCTCCATGAAGCTGATATCTTAAAAATACCTTAACTTAAGACCTCTAGAGAAATTAAATAAAGTTAAAGCAGCTGTAGTAGCTGTAGGTGGAAAATTGGGGGTTTTCCTTTCCTTTCCTCCTGCTGCTGGTGTCTATAAGGACTCTAAAAGCACAGCCTACATTTCCAAACAGGGAACAAAAACAATAAGATAACATCCAAAAATCTCTCTCTTTGTGCTGTTTTGTGTAAAAGTTCAGTTTTTGTCGTCTTACCCATCAGCTGCGGGTCCACAGCGTCTCACCGATCCACCATCGAACACTCCGACTGCAGTCTGCAGGGATCTGAACCATCTCCTCCTCCTTCTCCTCTGGGTGGAAGTCGTGTCATCGTTTCCTGTTTGCAGGGCAGGAGGATCATTTGGCGTCAGCACCCAGAAAAACGAGGGCTCCTGAAGGGCTCTTTCATGATTTTAAAGCTGCAGTCCTCATTCCACTGAAAGTCCACATGTTGACACTGAACACGTCATAACAGGCTGATGAAAGATCTTCCCTTTTGACTCTGTAATGCTGCATTTCTTTCCCTATTTGGAAAGCAGAACTCACACAATCTATTGTTCAATGCAGTGAAAGCAGTGGTACTTCTTCAGTTGATTGAGGGTACATAGAAAGACTAGCTCAATGTGAAAATAGAGAGTGTGCGTAAACTAGGTAGAAAGTAGACTTTACATAGATAATTGATCAAAAGTTACTAAAAAGTAGCCTAATGGACAAACATTTGAAAAATAATGTATAGTAATCAAAAAAAATAATGGATAGGGCTTGTACAGTTGAAACAGTTAGGGTATAAGTACCTAATGGGATGAATTAACAGTTGTAATAGTTAAATGATGGGTAAACAGTTGTAATTAGCTAAAAGTAACAACCAGCAGGAGTCCACACAATGATGACCTCTTTACTTTGTTGGACATAATCAGTGAAATCAGTAGTTGATTGTTTCATATGAATGTTCATAAAAAAAGAGAGCTCGAGAACGTCATCTGTGAAATATTGAGAGCATAATAAACACGTTAGTAAAAAAGGTAAAAAACCTGGTCAGGTGTGTTTTCTAAATGAAATCTGAAAATTTGCATTAAGAAAAATGCAGTTTGTGAATTAAACTATTAATCGAAACAGGCATCACAGAAAACATGATTAGTAACAATACAATAGAGAAACATAAATAGAGAGAAAATCTCATTCTGATCAGACATTTTGTTCATTAAACTTACACAGTGTGCTTCATGGTTTCAGTTCTTTCTTAGAACAAAGAAACAGTATTTAACTCTGAGACTGAGCTTATGTTCATAGAGCTAGAGTTACTTAAGTAACCAAGCCCCAAGTAGCCTCTCAGTGAGAACCAGACACATTTAATTTCAGAGTGTCACAACATGCTTCACAAAATAAGGAAGCTAACTTAAATCATAGACTTAAGAAGCATAAAAACACTATAAAACAAGAAGGAGTTTTTGACTTGTAAACAACATTCACTTGAACATCCAAGTCATAACTGTGCAACTAGAAGGTGGTACAACTTGAGGGCCAGTGAATTTGGAGGCCTGTGAAAGTAGAGGTGTAGGAAACTACCAGAGTCAACTTGAAGCCAGTCTACAGGCTGTTGACAGCAGAGGCCAGTGTGGAGCTTCCTCTGCTGAGGCAGGTTACCTGTTGCTTATATTTGTGACGTTTGGATGTTACAATTACTATGATGAAACTAGAGGCCGGCACAAATTGGTGTGGTAAAAGTTGCTCAACAATGCATGAGAATGAGATGTCCACAGAGGACTCTAGTTTGTGTGCACACCAGTTGACAAAGGTGAACTGAGAAGATCTGGTCTCTTCGTGTCAACATTGTTTTCAACTTATGTAACGTTTTTTAAGTTGTCAGGTACGTACTGTAACTTACAATCTTTTCCTACACCTAAGCTAGAAGTTTTTGTGCCTAAACCTAAACCAGTGTTAGTGTCTAACAAGTGTTATTATTGCCAACCTGACCGTGGAGCGTTGTGTGCCCTGACATGATGATGAACTTGCACCTACAGCAAACCTTTGATGAAGAAAATGCCTCTACCAGATGGAAGAACACACTAAAACACAGAGAATACTGATGGGTATTTCTAAATGTGCTCATTGTTTATTTGCTGTTCGTCTCCATATAGTATGCAAAGAGGGTTATAGGCACTTTACAGGGTTCATGACGAGTCATATTAAAATGCTCACCATAGCAAATCAACCCCTTAAGTATAAAACAACATATATGTTCTTTTATAGCTTAGGGGGTGTTTATACCCTGGCAGTGCACAATTAACAATCATGCCATGCATCTCCTAAGGGCTTCAAAATAACTGGCACCAAAGTCGGCATTAAAATGTTGGTGTGATGATGTAATGATCCTTCCTTCTTTTTTTTTTTTAGAGACGAACCAGGAAACAGTTACTGTTCAGTTCTCACTGAGAAGAGAAACACAGACAGACGGTAAGATTTACCTTTAATACAAAGCTGTGACTTCAACTGAGGGAGGAAAGTTACAGGAGGAAGTAGTTAAGTATACTGAAGTAGTGAAGTACTTCAACCTGCTGCGGACTGAAAAAACACTCAAGACACAAGGTTTAAGTAACTGGGGCAACTTTCTACAGCAGGGTGGAGAAACACAAGTGACTTCCTGTTTTATCGTGCTGTGTTTCCAGATTCACTCAGACACAATATGGATTCCAGATTAGAGGAGGATCTCTGCTGTCCAGTCTGTCATGACGTCTTTAGAGATCCTGTCGTTCTGTCATGTAGCCACAGCTTCTGTAAAGACTGTCTGAAGAGCTGGTGGAGACAGAAACAAACCAGTGAGTGTCCAGTCTGTAAGAGAAGATCTTCAAAGGAACGCCTACCGTGTAACCTGGTGTTAAAGAACCTTTGTGAGGCATTCCTACAGGAGAGAGATCCGAGAGCTTCAGAGGCTCTCTGCAGTCTGCACTCTGAGAAACTCAAACTCTTCTGTCTGGACCATCAGCAGCCAGTGTGTCTCATCTGCAGAGATTCAAAAAAACACAACAACCACAGATTCAGACCCATCGATGAAGCAGCAGGACAACACAAGAAGGAACTTCAGGAAACTCTGGAGGCCTTAAAGGAGAAGTTAAAGGTATTTGAACAAGTTAAAGAGGAGTTTGATCAAACAGTAGAACACATTAACGCCCAGGCCCGACGCACAGAGAGTCAGATTAAAGAACACTTTATGAAGCTTCGCCAGTTTCTAGATGAGGAAGAGGAGGCCAGGATTGCTGCACTGAGGGAGGAAGAGGAGCAGAAGAGTCGGATGATGAAGGAGAAGACAGAGGCTCTGAGTAGAGAGATAGCAGCTCTTTCAGACACAATCAGAGCCACAGAGGAGGAGGTAAGAGTTGAAGATGTCTCATTCCTGAACAACTACAAGGCTGCAGTGGAAAGAGTCCAGCAGCGCCTCCTGCTGAAGGATCCGCAGCTGCTCTCAGGAGCTCTGATAGACGAGGCAAAACACCTGGGCAACCTGACCTTCAACATCTGGAACAAGATGAAGGAGATGGTCTCTTACAGTCCTGTGATTCTGGATCCAAACACTGCTCGTCCAGAACTGATACTGTCTGAAGATCTGACCAGTGTGAGAGGAGGAGAGGAGCAGCAGCTTCCTGACAATCCAGAGAGGTTTGATTATTTTCCTATCGTCCTGGGATCTGAGGGCTTTAACTCAGGGACTCACAGCTGGGATGTCGAGGTTGGAGACAGTACAGGCTGGTTACTGGGTGTGTTAGCAGAGTCTGTCCAGAGGAAGGGACTTAAACTGTCTGGACTATGGACAATAGGGTTCTATGAAGGCAAATACTCAGCAGAGTCACCGCCAGCTTCATCCACTGTTCTCCGTGTGCAGAAGAAGCTCCAGAGGATCAGAGTGAATCTGGACTGGAACAGAGGAAAGCTGTCATTCTCTGATCCTGATACTAACACACACATACACACCTTCACACACACTTTCACAGAGAGGACGTTTCCATACCTTGGCACTGTGGACAAACTCCCACTGAAGATATTACCAGTGAAAGTCTGTGTGACAGTTGAACGTAACAGTTAATGTTGGTTATTTCTTAAAGGGAAGAGTCACATCTCATCTGCTTCTGTCTCATTATACTAAAAATATGTTCATCTTTGTTTGTGCGTGTGCAACAGCAACCGCTTTGTGGGAGCTAATGGATCCAAAAAAATTAAAAAGAATCAACTCACCAATAACTGCATGTTGAGCAGCCAAATTGTTTAAATATATATTAAATGTGTTTTAAGACATCCAACATCATGGATGTACGTCATTTGATAACATGTCTAAGGTAGACATATTCATGATTTCAAACTGTATGTAACGTTGGTGATTTCAGAATTCATTAACATGAACATTAATGCTGAATGTACATTCGCTCCTGTTTTTCATCAACATAATAAAATAATGTCCTTTCTCTCCATTTCCTCTAAATGCATAAAAAGGCCTTTGGTATTCTTTGGTGTAAAAACACTTACTGCACACGAGCACAGCTGTGGTAAGTACAGTAGGTCAAAGCTGAAGAAGGAAATTGATAGGTAAACTTTGATGGACAAAACAGACCCACTGTGTGTGACACAGTGACACATTTTATTAAGTAATTTTAGTATTTAGGTAATAATTTTGGCCTCCATCTCACAGTCGATGTCGAGCAGAACCAACATTTATTCTTCTATGTCTTTTTTCTCAGTCTTTGTGTAAGTTGAAGTTAGCGTATATTACCTACACTGTTTGCCAGTTATCCAATCATAATTTCTCCCAGGTTACAGCTTTCTCAACAATTTGAGGAGACAACTTCCTGGTGATAAACTTGTATGAGCTGAAGAGGAGCACCTGAACGCCTCATTAGTTATGACGGCCATTTTTGGAAGAGCAGCGGGTTCAGTCGTCATGGCGGTGATTCCTTTAGAGAGTTCAGACCCTGCAGCAGCTTTAAAAGGAGCAATATGTAAGAATTTTACTTTGAAACATTCAAAAACGTCAACTGAATGTAAAGAAATAACAGCATTCACGTTACGTCAGAGACGTTTATGTATTGTGTTGCTGTGATATCTACTGAAGTTAGCTGATTCTTATGATAGGTGTGGACACTTTCTGGTGATATGGTGTCCTCAGTTTGTTTGGAGTATGAGTTTGACAGGCAGGCAATTCTTATAGCGCAGTGAGTAGTGATGTCTCTGTCTTCCATAACAGCCATTCAATTAGCAGGCTATGAAAGTATTTTTGTTTCTATATAACCCTAAATATAATGTTTTATATTGTAGTATGAAACACAATAATACACTGTAAAAACTTCCACACTGACTTTGTATTTAAAGGCATCATGGATCATTTTTAGTACAATGGCGCCGCCTTTTGGACAATTTCCCACATTACAGCTTTTTCCCCCTCAGTGGAAGCTCTGCTGTCATTTATTTAAAATGTGTTAATTAATTTTTATGTAATAAAGGTAAAACTATTTACTTAAAAAAATGTAGGTCTGTAAATTCCAAATAATTCAACCTGAGTTTTCTAGAGAAACACATGTAATTTGGAATTAATTATTATAGGAGTCCAGTTGGTACACTAACAGAAAATGAATTACAATTAATTGCTAAGTTATCACATCTTTTAGTCGGTTGGACATGCAAAAATGTAAAAATTAATAAAAAATTACAAGTAGGTCTTTTAAACTTTCAATAAATGTTTCAATTATTAGAGAATAACAGAAGTTAAACAAAAAGAAAAGAAAGAAAAGATCATTTTGATAAGAGAGAATAATAAACCAGAATTATTCTAATTACATGAATAATACATTAATACGTCTTCTAATTCATTCAGCAAACCTTCAGGATTGTAAAAAACACACCTGATTTCTGGTCATATTTAGTCATTTTCCTTTATTTTTTAGCAATAATTTCTTTATACGTTCCATTTAAAAGGTTTTCGGGATAAAATTACATTTAAATGTAACTATTGATTTATCTATATGTTGTTTTCTTGTGACTGAAGATGTGAGCTGAAGTTTATCGGTCTGACAGCAGGGGGCAGTCTGAGCTCAGAGATGGACAGAGGCTCAGGTAGGAAGGTTGGACACATTAAATGAGTGTAACTAAGATTTGTAATCATTTTTGTGATTTGTCATTTCTGTGTTTAAGGATTAAAGAACTCACTTCAGTGGGAAACAACAGGAAAACTGTTGACTATGATTTTGCCCAACGAGGCAACTAAAAATACCCTTCTGATGTTTAATAAACAAATTTATTATGAGGTTATAACTAATCCTGGGTCAGCTTTTATTTTATTTTTGAGTTATGAGTTGTTTATTTTTATTTTCATTAGATTAGACTTTCAAAATTTGATGTCTTTCATTTATTTGATTTATTAGGCTACTAAGGCTCAGTTTGTATTTTCATATGAGGCTACAACTGAACCTGGGTCCCAGAAATAAAATGTATTTTATTTTATTGTTTACTTTTACCATCATTTTCCTTTTTTATTTAGTTTTATTTTTAAATTTTTTAATATTTATTATCTTCATTCTTATTCTACTTTATATATTTTATTCATTGTTTTGATAAAAAAAAATATTTTAATTTTTAATTTTTATATCATTTTCATTTTAGTTTACCTTATATTATTTTATTATGTTATTACTTTTGGATTTTTATATATGAACCGGATTTTGTTTTTTACAAGTTAAGGGGTCCGGGGTTTTTTTAGGGTTTATTATAATAATTTAGGATAAATCAACTCGGGGAAGCTGCTAACTGCTGCAAATGGAAACCGCTTTGCGTGTGTGTGTGTGTGTGTGTGTGGTCATGAATATAGAAGACAGTCTTTTGAAGGCAGCAGTCTGAATACCATGACAACTCCCAGCAGCCTCACATGTATTCCCAGCTGTGTGTGTGTGTGTGTGTGTGTGTGTGTGTGTGTGTGTGTGTGTGTGTGTGTGTGTGTGTGTGTCAGGCCATTATAAAGTGTTCAGGGGGAATAAATGGGATAAATGTGGAGGCTGTGCGGTCTTTGTGTCCGTCAGCTCGTTGTGTGTTTGTTTGCAGAGTTCGACCACCCAGCAGGATCCAACACACACACACACACACACACACACACACACAGAAAGAGAGAGCCGAAGTCATTGTCACACACATCACACACAGAGAAAAGTGAAAACCAAAACTTAACCAAACACACAAACCCTGCAGTAAAAAATGCCCCAAAAAACAAGAGAAATCCCAAAGAAGTCTGGTTTGGAAAATGTTACATTTATCAAGTAATTTACTGTTTGAATTACACTTATTTTATCTTAAAATAAGAGACAACTGAGATGTAGTGACATCATCCCACTGCTTCCCAGAGCAGTTTGAGCAGTTTGAGCAGTTTAGGGTCAGAACCACAAAAGAAGAAGAAGAAGACGGATCAGTGCATTATAGAATCAAGTTGACTTTAGATTTTTGGTTTGTTTTAAGAAAATAGGGACAATCTTTTTTTTACCGTGTATGTGGACAAATGGTCTAAATTGACCTGATGATGGCGCTAGAGGAAAAGCCAGAGGATCACTAAGGGATTATGATTCATGAATGTTTGTATCCAACTTCATGTCAATCCATCTTTTATACTATTTCAGTGAAAACCACAAATGTCAACCTCACAGCAGATCACCAAAGTCAGTATTCCTCCTCCAATCATCTTAATCCTTCCAATCGTTGTTGAGACTAAAGAGGTTTGAGTCCAGATTACAATTAGACACTAAAGTGATATTAAGGTTGCAAACACTAACAGTTATTTGTCTATTTCAATTAACTGTTTAACCTACGAACAAGATACAACTTGTACATTTGGCAGCGGTAAAGTGGCTAAAAACCTTATTATTATTTTATCTTTTGATGAAGCTAGGCTAGCAGTTTCCCTCTGCTTCCAGTGTTTATGCTAAGCTAGGCTAAACAACTCCTGTAGCTTGTGGATGTGCCCTTAAAACCACTAAAAAAGATTTTTTCTAAATATGTTATGATTGAAACAGATCTACTTCTTGTGTAATTCTGGAGGGGAAAAAAAGGATTTTCCAAGTAGTCAGAGTGTTTCTTTAAATGGGAGCTCGGAGTTGATTTAGTTTGATCTCACTGTTACTGTTAAACTGTAGATTGATGAACAAACTGAGGAAGTAAGAGGACGTCATTCTAATGTTAAATATATACATAAAGAATCACAAAGTGGAGACGCTTCCTTTAAATTCATCAGTGAGCGATGAAAACATGCCAGAGCCTTGATTGTTTGTTAAGTTGTTCATTTCTTGTTGATTTCTTACTAGCTCTCCTTGTTGTTTATAATAAATAAACATACTTTTACTGTAGGACTTTAAAGAGGGGGACCCCGGTTACATAATCACATTGATCTTAACTCTGAATCAATATAGATGACTCCATTATAGCAGGTTATCCCTTGATTCAGCACACAAGTATTATCAGGAAAATATACTTAAAGTATCAAAAGTTAAAGGGCTTGTTTTACAGTGAAATGTCTCCTGAGAGTAATATATGATATTATTTTATAATTAATACTGATACATACATTTGAGGGGCCCTGAGATGATTAATGAGAGAAGAAAGAGGAAAAAAACAAAGTTCTAATACACAAATTTATAAAACATTTTGGACTTTTCTTTAATATTTGTAGTTAAATATTGGATACTTTGACCTCTTTGGTCTTCACTTATTATAATGAAACAACAAAAGGTGAAATGTCTCTTTGATGAAACTGCTAACAGACATCTGAAATGTAGCAAAGGACGCCGACCAGAGAGGTTGTGATACTTTTAATGAACAGATGCTGTAACTGATTAATGTCCCCTAAAGATCTGATCTGAATTACAGCTGTCAGATAGATGTAGTGATGTAAAGAGGATGATACCTCCAAACTGTGGTGGAGTAGACGTATAAAGTAACACAAAATGTACTTGAGTAAATGTACTTAATTTCCACCACAGCAATGACAATCTAAAAATGTATAAACATGTTTGTGTTATTTCTACTGCAGCTTAATACCACTTAATTTATTATTTACACTTGTGCTCTTTTTCCTACTGTGACATGGCACAATGTGAAAAAGATCTATATTATATACAAAGCAGAGCAGCCACCATAAAGAAATGGAGATAAGTGTTGGTAAATAATTTCCCCTGTGGGACGACAATAAAGATGTGAAATGAACTCTGTGACTGTGTGTGTGTGTGTGTGTGTGTGTGTGTGTGTGTGTGTGTGTGTGTGTGTGTGTGTGTGTGTCAGTGAGTCCATCAGCTGGTGTGTAAACACTCTTGAGTTAATCCTCACAACAAACACTGAAATACACTCTAAGTTTGCATTTAATACTTGATCATCCTAAATGTAGTGATTTTTTTCAAGGCAGTTTTGTGTGCACAGTAAAATATGTATAAAGTGTAAAAAGTGTTATTTTATTACTTTAGTTTTCATTTTTACTACTAAATAGATATAGAAACGGAGGCAACTTAGTTGTTTATCCAGCTAAAGGGGGACATGGGTACAGCTGACTCCACTATTTATTTATGTATATATATATTTTACTTAATTTGTTTAAATTTGACTAATTTATGGCAGCAAACTAATAAATATATAAATATAAAGTGAGTCTTCAACATTTCCACACCAGTATTTTATTCCTGCAGTATAGAGAACATTTAAAAAGACATTAATTTAGAGAATAAAAGTAAAGTATAATGAAGTTAACTGATTGCAGGCTGAGGTATTTATATTGTTTCTTTCTTTATGTTTTAACTTTTTGCCAAATTTTACTTTTTGTCTTTTTTTTTTTATCCCAAAAATAGTGTAAATAATATAAATATTTGTCCAGTATTGTGAATAAACACGTTATTATTTCTATTATGCTAATGTTTTATGTTGCGTTAATAGATCTTATATTTATATATCTTTACTCCTCACTAACTTGTTGGACACACTGAGGATTGTTTGGTTCTTTTTGGTAAACAGGAAGCGGATCAGTGACTCTAATAAATGTAAATGAGTCACTTCTTTCCTCACTAATCCTCCATCATTAAAACATTCACCTCCTCCCTGAAGCTCCAGCATCTCTCTTTAATACGCTGCTCCCGTTTTTTGTGTGTGTTTTTTTTTCACACCCTCAACCACTTGACCCTCGAGACCCGCCTCCGTCCTTTTTAACGGCACACACACACACACACACACACACACACACACACACACACACACACACACACACACACACACACACACACACACACACACACACACACACACACACACACACACACACACACTCTTAATGTCTTCCCTCATGTATTTTTCATGCTGTTAAATCCTCTCCGGTCGGCCCGTGCAGCTCCGGGCTCCCGCTCCGTTTAACGGCATTCATGGACCCAAACCCTCCGCTGGCTGCTCCTCTTTAACGGGCTGCAGCAGCTGAACCATCGCGGACACAAACCTGGAACTTTTGTCTCCTTCAGTCTCTCCTCTTTCTTTTTTTTCTTTTTTTACCGGCGTCATGTCTGTTGGCACCAGCACAAAAACGGGCTTCTCCGTGCGGGATATTCTGGATCTCCCGAGCCCGACCAGGAGATGCAGCTCCGGGACCGAGGAGACCGAGGAGGACGACACCGAGGAGGCCTCTGCGGAGGTTTCAGGGGCGGGAAACGCGCAGAAATTGGGATTTAGCGGCCGGAGTTTGTGCGAGCGCGGCGGCGGAAGCTACGGCAGGTGGAGCCGCGGATCCGGTAACCTGCACTTCTCATGTGAGCATACTTGTTTTAAAAAAAAAAAAAAAAAGTTAGTATATTTATATATGTGACTTATATTCATACATTAGTCTATATTTACTATTATTACATATATAGGCTATTATTATTCTCATTTCTGACTCTTGAATCTGACACTTCTGCTCGTGCGTAATTACCAACTCGATACAATACTGCTTAAAGAATCAATAATTACTTCAAATATTTTGTAAATGTATCTTTAGTTTTACTTTTAAAATGATAAAAATGACTTTAGATGATAATTTAATCCTCATTTCTGTCCGTACAGCCGCACACATCCGCGCGTAACTGGAGACCTAACCTGTCTCTTTGTCTCCCTCTTCTCCATCTTTCAGATTTCACATTACATCATTATATTATCAATAATTAAACCATTACCTCCTTATTAATGTTAACTGTTCAACTCGTTCAGTTCAAAATCGTTGCTGGTGTTTAGTTTTTGACAGAGCCCAATCATTCAGGCACATGTTGAACTTAAAAAGCGTATTTTTCTTAAGGGAGTTCAACACTGTGCTGATTTAAAAGCAGTTTCAGGATATTTCTGGGAAAACAGATACAATATGAAATGAAATCAACACTCTGGGCTCTGATCATGCGTTCTAGAGAAGAAAAATGTAGTCGTTAATTGATTTCTGTGGGGATGTTTCCAGTCTCTGTTTTAAAGGAATTACTTGTGATGGAAGTCTGTCAGAGCTCCAGTCTGTCTCTGCGGTGTTAAAGAGTAATCACATTACTTGTACTGTCTCCCTGCAGTACACGGTCTTTCCTTAGAGTCCAGTACCGAGCCCAAATCTCCCGAGCTCTCCACGGACGAGTCCCCAGACGCGGAGCGGGAACCGGCGGCGCGGCGCAGAAGAGCCGCGGCAGGAAGCGGCGGGTGCTCTTCTCCAAGGCGCAGACCTTCGAGCTGGAGCGTCGCTTCCGGCAGCAGCGCTACTTGTCCGCCCCGGAGAGGGAGCACCTGGCCGGGCTGATCCGCCTCACCCCGAACCAAGTGAAGATCTGGTTCCAGAACCACCGCTACAAGATGAAGCGTTCCCGGGTTGAGCACTGCAGCCTGGAGGCGCTGCAGCTGCTGCCGGCCCGCCGGGTCGCCATTCCGGTCCTGGTGCGGGACGGGAAGCCCTGCGACCGAATCACAGCGCAGAACCTGGAGGCGACGCTCAGGTCCGGCCTGAGTCTACCTCTGTGTGCCTACTCTCCGCTGCTGCACCCCGCCTACGGCCCGGACCACCCCGGACTGCCGCAGCAGCACCCAGCGGTGCAGCAGCTGGCGCACATGTACCACTGGAGCTGGTGAAGCCAAAACTCTTCCTGATTCCTAAAACACTGAGAAATCCACGTTATAAGCTCGAGTTCGGCCATGAATTGATTGTTTTTCTTGTCCGAATAGTCTCTCTTAAACGATAAATGCCACTATTGAAAAAGGAATAAAAATACATCTTTTTTTGAATGGAGTTTGGTTTATATCAGGATTTGTTTTTCCCAGAATAAAACAAAATACTAGGCCTATTTTTCAAAAAGCACGAGTGTGCCACATGAGAAAATTAAACTCTCGCAGTTGAAGTTTTAAACTTAAGACTCACTTTGTGATTTAGTTTCCAGCCCTTCTTCAGATGACCTGTTTTTAGGACATTTATTTTGTGTAATCCCATCAAAAATGTCCCTTTTTCCCTGTCTCCTAAAGCTTGATTGTTTTTTTATTTTTAACCTCATCACAGGTAACAAAATACATTTTCCCCATCCAGACGCGCAAAACGTCTAAAACTACACTATTGAATATGTGGATAAAAAGACTGAAGTTTAACTGTGCACAAAACCGATCAAAACAAACGTTTTCTTGTTTTTGGAAACTTTTTGTTTGTTGTTGTTGTTTCTGTTGTGTTTTTCTGCAAAAGTGTCACTTTTATCGCGAGAACTTGTTTCCGCGTGTTTCATAAATCTATTTATAATGTTGACCGGTGAGTTGTTTTGTAATAAGCTGGATATTTATGATGTTGAATAAAAGTTGGAGCCGTTGTGAGTTGTTTGATTTCAGCCTGTACTGAAGTTAATCAGGTTATGGTCGCTTTGGCAGGAATATTAATAATATTATTTTTTATATTTTAAATCAATAACGATATGTTGGTCTATGTTTTCGCATATTCGGGTTCGAGTTTCTTGCTCTTTATCTTGTTATCACCCATGATTCATTATCCAACCTATAACAGGACTTGATACTGTAGTCATGATGTACAATATAAACTTTTAAGTCAAATTTCGTAATAGATTTATTGAAGTTTTGGACAGTCTGGCTCCTAAACTGAGATATTACTAAAATATTTCTATATTATTGCTGCAGAAAAGCGTCTCTACTGTGTAAAAGTGGTCACTTACAGTTTGTCACTTTATAATATAGGCCTATTTCTTTCCTGTGAATTTGTGGACATCTAAATAACTTTAATATTTAAAAAATAAAATAAAACTGCAGATCTAACAAATAGATGTTAAGCCATTATTTAAGGATTAACATTATGTACTTAATTATAGCTAAATATGTAATAATCCTACGAGTTTGGTACATTTACATATTTTTATTTCTAGGAAAAAACTATTTTACCGATTTCTAGGAACTTACTACTTTTTATTAAGGTTGTAGAGCTTTTATAGCATCTTCCTTCATTTATATTTTACCAGCTGTTGTTCCTCCTCTGAATCATATCAGAGCAAACTGATCATCAGCAACATTTAAGACAGAAATTCACAACCTGGGGATCACCAAGTTAAATCTGACTACAAGAATAAAAAAGATTAAAAAGACCTTTTCTGGAAGTTTTTCTCGTATAATAAACTGGATATTTTCACCTCTCTAGGTCTCTAAAAAAGTCTCATGTCCATGTAATCTGTCTGCTTGGGTTACAGGTAGGAAATGCCTCATTTAAAGGGCCAAAACATTTGGGGGCCACTGAGGTATCTGAGGTACAGGCAGATGTGTCTTTGGTTTGTTAAGGAGAAAATGGAGTTGTTGTACTTTTACTTTAAAGTCAAGGTTGTCTTTGTAATAAATTATAACTTTGAGAACATGAGAACTTACTCATGCACAACATTAATCCATTTTATATAAAGGACTGCAGGTGAATCTACTTTTACACATTCATTTATGATGATGATTATGATCTTGTTGTGCGTATTCCTAAATTAATTTGTGTTTAATCAAATTACCTCACAGGAAACGCAGAGTCATCATGTTTTCCAGGAGTGATGCACAGACGAGGAGGACCGGTTGTCTGATGGGGTTTAACAGGTTCGTCTTCCCTGCAGAGAGTTAGATGAGAAGGTTGATGCTACTCTCACGTCTGTACGTTAGATATGAAGATACAGCCAGGAGACAGTTAGCACATAAAGAGTGGAAACAGCTGGCTCTGTCCAAAGGCAACAAAATCCACCTATTAGCACCTCTAAAGCTCCCGGCACATAACCTCCAGAAAACCTGCTGATTGTTACTTACACACTCTGGTTTTTGTACAAATTAAACAAATAAGTTACATAATAAGAATTAATTTAACCCATTTTCAACCAAAAAGTTTCAGGAACTTTGGAACTTGAGGAATTAATCTCAGGAAATAAACTAGGAAGGACTGTGAAGATTAGACAAATAAGACCCAGGGTGGATATAAAAAGTGTTCTTTGTATTTTCTGTTGGCTGATTCTGATGTTTGAGTTTGATATAATGAATAAACGAACAGGAGGAAAAAGAGACTGAAAACTCCAGAGCAGATCGTCTGCTGAGTGTTTGAAAGTTATTTCTGCTTTAGAAGATAAATTATATCATGAAACAATTAATAAAGCAATTAGGAAGCTGACAACAAAGCCTGACTTTGGTTTTAATATAGAAAAACAACAAGAAATGTACCAATATTAATACTAAAGGACTTTCTTGTTTTATGAATGAAATAGTAAACAAATTGAAGCAGCTGCCCATAAAAACAATAAAAAACATTTCCCCCAGAGCGAGAACTTTTTTGCCCCCCGGAGCAATCGTACAGGAACTAAATGTGGTCGAAACTGCAGTGGGAACACACACACACACACACACACACACACACACACACACACACACACACACACACACACACACACACACACACACACACACACACACACACACACACACACACACACACACACACACACACACACACACACAGGATTTGGTTTTTTTCGCCTTTGGAAATCACCAGGCTAGCAGTTTTCCTCCATTTCCGGTCTTTGTGCTAAGCTAACTGCATCCAGCTTCATATTCATGGTGCAGACATGAGATTGATATCAATATTACTTTAAAATTGCTTTTCACATGATTATTTTACAATAATGATTTGGAAATTTTCAAAAAATATACAAATGTTTAAAGGAATTCAATGATCACTTGATGCTTAAAAATCCTACAGTATTCACACATATTTGAAAAGAGACTTTCAGAAAGTTTGACTTTATAATGTTTTAGAAATATTGTAATATTAGGTTCACTATGTGTGTTTCTCTATATTGAGATCATGGTCACGGTTTCATCTTTCACAGTGCTGTTGGATCACTGTGGTCTAATCAGCACTGACAGTGTTTAAGTTAGTTAAAGACTTATTTATATCATTATTAACTTTTTGGACAGACCTGAACACACAGTGAACAAAAAAACAACAATCAAAAATATTAAAACTTGATTAAATATCGATGAAAACTCACTTCTCAAAAGTGGAAAATGTGTTGATTTAAAAGCATCAGATGTGATGCAGGTACAGAAACAATTTAACCTCGTAAGTTGGTTTGTGGATTCATTATCTTTAGAATAATTTTGTTTTCTAAACATGAGACAGGATTAAAACGTCTCTACTGCAGGAGACGACTTCATTCACCACAAGACAACCGGCTATTTACTGTGTTGTGACAAAGGAAAGAAAGACCCCCGTGTGTGTGTGTGTGTGTGTGTGTGTGTTGGGGGGTCTCTGTATTCAGAGGTGTCAGAGGTCAGCTCATCTGAGAGGGATGATGTCACAGGAGGGTGGTGGTGGTGTGGTGTGTGTGGGGGGGGGCAGTTAAAGCTTTGAGATGTTTATAATGTGTCACCTGCTGCTATAAAGGGGAAGAGGAAGAAAAGCAGAAAGATACCAGGATGAAGAAAAGAGAACGAACAGAGATTTGGAGTCTGGCGTTTTTTTCAGCTCACATTCGACACATATTTTACTTTAGTGCAGACTTTATTAAATTAATGAGGGGTCGGGTGATAATCTATATTCTTTAGTCCCAAACAAACACAGTAATTCCTCCTGTTTGTTTGTTTGTTTGATAAAAACTACAGTAAGAAGCTGTTTGAGGATCTTGGTGTAGCGGTGCAGTTGCCAATTACAACTCCGTCGCGTCAACCTCTCTGTCCAAGCGTGAAGGAGAAGTGGGCTGGGCTACTGTAGAAATATGGCGGACTCCATTCAAGGCAACCTGTTGAGCTCATTCTAACTTAACAAAAACCAAACAATTCCTATATTCAAGTGATTATACGCTAATGAAAACACACCTAATATTATATTCCATTTCTGCCAACAGATCCTCCTAAATGTTACACACTGGACCTTTAAATGATGTTTTTTAATGGCTCTCTTCCACTATCCCTCATCCATGTTTCTTCTTCTTGTTCTTTATTTCAGCCTGCCCGTATAGTGACTGGCTCTCTGCTGTTGCTTTGTCCGTCAAAGAACTTTGTAAACTCTGTTTTTATAGGTGCTGTATAAATAAAGTTATTATTATTCTTATTCCATTTCAGCACATGGTCCAACGATCACCTTAACACCTCAAAAACTAAAGAACTGCTCTAGCACTAGCTCTAAACACTGGTCCATGCTGCCAGTCTCACCATCAAAAGGAGAGAAAGAGAGACTCTTCTGTAAACTAAATCACGTGTCTGCATTATTGAGTCTGTAAGGTGCTGTATACTTACAGTCACTAAGAAGAAGACAACTTATTTAGCAAGAAATCTCATTAGTATTCCCACCCCAAACTTATCAGATGTGTGTGTCACCTCACTCATGATCCATGCACCTCTTTATCTGTACATGTCAGTCTATTAATTATTGTGATTTTGTTTGTTATATTTTCAGCTCTAACTCTATTTCATGATTTCTTTATATATAGTCGTTTTTTTCTAGTTAGAGCTACATATTGTTCATGTTTAAATGCAGCAGACGTCATACTCTCTGTTCATCATGTAGTCAGCAGGTGGCAGCAAAAGCTCAATCAAAGCACGCTTTTCCCAGCACACACACACACACACACACACACACACACACACACACACACACACACACACACACACACACGCACGCTCATTAGCATATCCCCCAAACATTAACCATCACATTTAAATAATAATATAATAATATAATGTTAACCTTAAAAACAAGTGTTAAACATCAAACAGCCATTTGAAGGTCTGTTATAAAGTGAAGACTGATCAAAACGTCCTCATATCAGACCCCACAGGTCGAAAACTCTAACTGGTCTTCACGAAGACAGACACAGAAAAAAAAAAAAAGACTTGAAATCATTATTTTATAATCAAACTGTTCTTTGTTCTTCTTGGAAATGTGTCTGACTGAAACTGCAGTCATGGATTTCTTTACTATGTAACACAAAACATTATTAAATAGAAATATTTTCTCTCAATGCGTCTTCACGACTTCTGTTTGTGGCTCATTAATTCCCACTGAAGACTCAAACAGGAGGAAAAAGCACATTTGTACTATTGAACTATTTTCAGTGGTGGATTAATCCACATTTGGAGCTCTGGTGAGTATTTGGGGCAGTTTTTAAATAGCAGTGCTTATACAAACAGACCAACAATTGATGGCTTCAAACACTAACCTGAAGCAGATGATTTCACAGTGTGCGATGCAGAGGACTTGAAGTTCGACTTGTCACAGCTCATGGATGATCTCCAGAACCTCACGCCATCTAAAAATCACTCAAAATCAGTCCACAGGTGCATTATATTATCATGTCATAGTCAGGGGCCAGCACTATAATCATTTATCACCCCCTACTGGCCTGGAAGGGAAATGCAATACTATAATACCAACTTCACCCAAAAAAAAAAAGAAAACGTGGGCTTTTTGTCACATCAGGAAAAACACAAGTGTAAATAATAAAATGAATCATGGCTAAAATCCATTTAGCTGCTTCAATTTCTGCTGTGGAAAAGATTTATTGGCTACAACAGTCATCATGGAGCTGCTTGTGAACCAGTGAGACAGACTGAAATTAAAGCTCCCCCATCAAGTAGGTTTTAAAGCATATAAAAATACTTTGCTCTAAATACTATTTTGTGTTTAACAGGTCGTTTACATGAAGAACTTCAATTAATCTGAACTTTATTCATTCATCTTCTCTTTCTTTCTTATTGGAAAATCCCATTGACAGTAAAGGGGACAGAGCGTCTGGGTCTGTGAAGTGAAGCCAGTGTGGAAGTGTCTTAAACATGTATTCTATGCCACGGCCAGCAGGGGGCAGCTCCACAGGCTGCAATAAAATCTGATAGTATGGAGTCTTATGGAGAAATAAACCTACTTCTCAGTTCATTTATTAGTAAACAGTTTAAGGGGTATATGGTCTCAATTGTTAGTTTCTAGTCTTCTTCCATACAGCATGTTGTTCATTTTTGTAAATTACGGTCCCGATTAAAGTAAAATACGACGATAAAGCAGAATATGGTTGCATGGCTACCTTGAATACCCAAACACTTGGATTGTTTTACTGACGATGAAGTTGTGATTTATCAAAACCCATGTGTCTTCAAATGGGATGTTTACCTGTTCAAAAAAATTTGATGTGATGCAGCAACAGCAGTGAAAACGATCAGGAACATTAATTTATGCACATATTTGCCCTTCTCACTGTGACTTGGGTTTGTCAAGTTTTTTAAAATAGGTCCCCAGAAAAAAAGTTTGGGAACCACTGCTCTAAAGGTTGAGCCTGCACCAACCCCCTTGTCCATCTATTTCATCCTCAGTTGGGAACAACACCCTGAGATGAACTCCATCACTTGGGGAAGCGACTCAGTGCCAACCCAGTGGGTGCAAATCCACCAGTTTCTGGCAGAGAGACGACACGTTTATCAATATTTAAAAGGCTACAGTCGGTAACGTTGAAGAAACTAGCAAGAAACAGCGACATTTTTAAAGTATCCAAGTGAAAAAAAATCCCACCTGCTCTCTTCAGGCCTTCCTCCAAAGCCACTCCCCAAAAAACTGTTGATGACTGTGGCTTCATTTCGACCAATAGAACACGGCACAATCCAGGCAGCGATTACGTTCGTCAGCACAATGTAACTGGGAGAACAATCTAGTAATATACAGGCTGGATGTAATTTCAGCCTTGGAGGCTTCAAGTTTCCACATCACACTCTGAATGGTGGTACCAAACGTCCCCCTTCAGCAGATGAATGTGAAAAATGCACAAACACCAACATCCACTTGAAGTAACAAGGAGCAAAACACATGTTTGAGTGGTTTCAAGGCCACAGAGGAGGAAGAGGAGGGTGGAGCAAAATCACAGAAACCCAACATAATATAAGAAATATTAGGGCCATTCAGTTGTGGAAGATGTATTCAGATCATTTATCATACCACACTGTGAAAATACCCCACTAAAAGTAAAAATCCTGTATTCAAAACCTTACTTAAACCTCAAAAGGAGTTGGTTTTGAAACTCAATTTAATACTGATGCCTCTACATAACCTACATAATCAAACAAGATGTGCCACAAGGTCAGATTTGGTCAGACTCCCCTTGAAATCAACCCAACGAGGCGGTGGAAACAGAACCGCTTTATCAACAGGGGCCGCCAGAATCACCAAAAAGGGAAAGTTCCTTGTATCTGCTTTAAGTAGAAGTGTGTAAAGTACTCATTGTGTCAGTGTTTTAAATTATATATGTTGTTTTTGGATTAATATTACTGCTGCATTAATGTGTATGTTGCATTTTACTGCTGTAGATATTCAAGGCTAAGCTCATTTTAACTACTCTACTGTGCATCATATTCTATAAGATCATCATATGTTTGCTGTCCTGTGAGAAACACGTATCTCTCTCAACGTTTCACCAGCTTGGAAAAACAGCTTGTGACGATGCATCTTCCAACTAATCCAAGAGGGTTTTTAAATAGTTTATTTAGCTTAAGGAAATAATTAGGTACAACAACATTTCAGTCACATCCTTGGATTCATTTTTGTTATCGTGAAGGAAACTAGCTTGGAAGATGGAGACTGACAGTCAGCAGCTGGAAATATTCCCATTAGTTTGATTTAACGAAGAAAACTGGGCACAATTACTAATTTTGTGGAGAGTAACAGAAAAGTAATATAACTAGTAGTGTAACTAATTACTGTTGGCAAGTAGTAATAAGTAAAAAAAAATGTATGTAATAAATTACATTTTTTGATTAACAAGCCCAACACTGCTAGAAAGTAAAGAAAGGGTGGAGTAAAAAGTACAGTGTCTGTCTCTTGAGATGTAGTGGAGTAGAAGTATAAAGTTGTAAAAAAACAAGAATTAAAGTAAAGTAAAAAGAAAAAGTACCATAAATTGGTAATTATATACAGTACTTAAGTAAATGTACTTGAATACATTGCACCTCTGGAACCACTGAACTTAAACAAATCTCAGTTTGTGCAGCAGATGTGGAGATTATTTTTTTTAGAAAAAAAAAAGAAACAGAGTAACCTCAGGATGGCGCTCTGGAGCTTCAGTGTCTTTGAATCGCTTAAACAACCAGCAGAGAGCTCTTCAACGCACACACACACGCACGCACACACATAAGCGTTTTCCATGTTTCTCATGTTTCTTAATGCAGCTTTAACTGCCAAGTGGTGGAGAGACGCAGCCTTAACCTCCTCGACCTGCACACAGACCCACTGAATGATTTCTGAAGACCACTTCTGGATGCGTGACCTCCGAACTCTCCCTGCACACAGGTGGAGATGAGGTCTTTTTTTTTTCGCCTCCTGGTGCAGGCTGAAATGTGTGAGCCTTTAACCTTGATTCTTTAAAGAAAAACAAACAATACATCTGATGGGGGAAATCAGGCAGAAAAATATCACAGGAAGCAACATAAAAAGGGTTTAATAAAACTTTTAACTATAATAACTATCATTAGGAGCACTGTGGTGAAATCTGACTTTGGTTTAAGCTGCAAAATACATGAATCTTAAAGGCATCCTGTTTTGGAGACTCTGCAGTATAAAATCTAATATTTTTTTTTGTTTTTAGTACAAAATGACTTGTAACAACATATAATAAGACAATAACAGACTAGATGGAAATAAACAGACAAGTGTTGGGTGCTATAATCACATAACAATTCTTAAAGGGGTACAGAAATAAACAAACACATCTTATGAGTCTGCTTATTTAAAATTATACAAATCTGAACATTATATTCTTTTCCAAAACAATCTCTAGTTAATGGAATATGTAAGCTATGAAAATAAATCTACGGTGACCCTGAGAGATCGAAATGAAATTTTTAAAAAATGCTTTTAGATCCCATTCCCACTCATATGGGGCTCTTAATGTTTATGCTACAAAAAATACATTTCTTTGCATTCTTGGATCAAAATCTAATCTTTTTATTCCCTTCAAAACAAAATGTGACATGTGCTTACGTAAAGCTTGAACCAACCAATTTCAACCAGTAATATCATGACATCCACCCATCAGCCTGGAGTAGAGTGTTTCTGGGGGCCAGGTCTCACTGGTTACTGGACAAAAAGTATTTTCAGTTTTTTTTTGTCTGATGTCCTCCAGCTGCTCTGCCTCAACTGCTGCTGTAGCCGCCGTTAGCGAGGTTACCAGAGCAGAGCCGAAAACATCCGGACAGACGGAGGCCAGTTTGACCACAGCGGTACCGAGTATCAAGGTGATTTATAGAGTTTCCTGATGGACTTGGTAAAGTAACTGACGGTAACTGTAATGGTAGCTGACTCAGCCCCCCCGGTGCCAGAAGTAAAACCGATAAGAAAACCACCTCAGTACTGCATTTCCTATTCCACTGGTTCCCTACTTTGAGGTCAGGACCCCCCACTAGGGGTTGCGAGGCTTTATTGATTTTAAGTGGTGTAATATTTGTAATAATAATAATCTATATCTCAGCATTTCATTCATTTCTGTGAGGAAAACTACATTTAAAATTTAAATTATTATTTAAGCAGAAATAAACCTGACGTTAGGACGTTGGCAGTGTGTTGAGCTCTCAGGGCCACCGTACAAACCTATTTACTTCTGTAAATAGTTAACAAAGTTATTGAGAGAATAACTGTAGTCGTATCCTTTGATTCCAGCTGTAAGTTCAAGAAAGAAAGAAATAAGAAAGAAAGAAAGGACACAGTTCATGAGTCGAGACATTTTAGCCTCCAGGAGCTGTGGCCACTAGAGGGTCGTCTCATCACCTCAGTGAGAGTCCTCCAACTCCCCCCAAGTCTCACTGTGGAGTTGCATGTTGGTGGATTTTTCTATGTTTCAGGAGCCAGGTGGTCTGGACGCCGCCCCCCCTTCCCCCTCACCCTCCTGGATGGAGTGGACTGCCTTTTCAAGAGGCGTTCAGGGGCCCCAGCTGCTTGGCCTAATGCTCCTCCAGAGAGCCGAGGATTAAACTGAGGGGAGACAGACTGAGAGGAAAGGCAGAGAACCGGAGTCTGTAGAGGGGAAATGAAAAGAAACGATGAGACAGGAAACGTAAAGAGTGAGTGCAGGTGGAGGTTGTCTCCCCCCCAACACCTCTTCCACCTTCAACCTCAATCAGAGACATGAGTTGATGCCACAGGTGGTTTCAGCTGAGGACTACGTTTGGAGAAAAAGAAAGACAAAAAGGGGAACTATATCTTTAGGGTGGCATTTAAAATACGCATTATGAGCACCAGCTCGGATTCACATTGAAAATCGATCAGCTTTTCTCCACTGGGTCCGCCAAGATCAACAAAAGAAGTTCCTTCTAGGTGCTTTAAGTAAAAGCAGAAATAAACCATACTTAAATATACTACATTTTAATAGTGCTGAATTTAAAATGTTACTTTTATTATTAGCTAAATGTAATGAAAGTATCAAAAGTGAAAGTTCTTATTGTTCAGAATGGCACCTTTCAAATATTATTATAGAAAATGATATTCTGTTTTCATCACCAACAATTAAATGTAAGAGCACTTTAATGTTTGTAGTTGTCAATGTGGAGACAATTTTAGATTATTTTGTATGCTACTGGCTAAACTACTAGAATAGTAATGAATACAATCAAATCACTAAGTAACTAAAGCTGTCAAATAAATGTAGTGGAGTGAAAGTACAAAGTAGCATTCAATGGAAAGTACAATTGAGATACAGTACTTGAGTAAACGTTTCCTTTCCTGTGGTTCAAAGTGGACACTACCTCTGAAGCAGATTATAAATAAGGATTATTTTGTTTTGTTAGATTTTTTTTTTTTTATAGTGTTTTGTGTATTCATGAATCTCTTAAGTTGGTAGAGAGGTTTTTAAGGTGGATTTAAAGTAGGGGATGCTGAAGAAGGCAGAGGTGAAGGTCAGATTCCTTTCAAATAAAGTTTATCACTAACAAAAGCTGCTCTAAACAGAGTAATACAAAGTACAGCTGAGGCTGGTGAGAATGTCATTAGTTATATAAATCTAAATATTGACCTGATGAAAAAACTGACCAGTTAATTTATTCTGAGGGGAACTTGAACGAGTGAACTAAATTTCATCCAATATTTGTTTTTCAGTCTGAATTAAAGCGGTCGACCGACTGGACGTTAATATGCACAAAACTAATAGAACTGAAAATAACCTGGAGAAAAATGTAAAGGGAAAAAATCAATAAACAAACCATGTGACCTGACTCAGGTAACAAAGGAGGTGAGTCAGACCGATTTTAAGCAACATGGGACTGTGATTTTATCCAGAATATAAATATGGACCTGTTGTCCACAGTGCATTATGGGATATGTATGCCCAGAGCCCAACAGTACTTGACACATCAAAACAACTTGAGTTTTCCTGCTAATATTCTGTTTATGTTACTATAGCACTTAAACATACCGGTAGATTTATTTGAGGATTTGGAAGATTTAATCCTTTAATGATGACAGCAAACCTGAACGTTGGTGCCTCCATATACTAGGCTAGGTGTGCGGGGCCCTGTGCCTGACTGGCCCTAAAAAAGCCTTCTAAATCACCCAGGGACATCTTCAGCTGATAATGACATTCATATTTTTCATCATAAAGTCACAATTTTCCATGTTTCATGTGGATGTCCAATCAGTGTTGATGGTAAATGTAGTCAACCTGAGCATTAAATTCCTCAGTGCGTGCTATATTGACAGAGAAAGTTGAGTTATTCTGCTTGTGGAGGCGTGCCGGCAGTGCCTACATGTACCAGGATGCATTGGAGTCGAGCTTCTGAAGCCCACGCCCATTGAGCAAGATAAATTAGCTGCTAGGTGCTAATCAAAGCTACACATCTACCACTGTATGTGTCAATTATCAGCGCCAGTGCTGGAAGAAGAACAGACTTTGAGGCGCTTTCTCGATCAATATGGCACAGCACTGAGGAATGTATTACTTCAACTGACTACATTTACCATCAACACTGGACATCCATATAAAAATGTTCCCTTTAGTGCAGCCACTGGAGGAGTTAAACGTAGATCAGTGAACGATTGCTGCTGAAGCTGACACATCTTAACTTTAACCATGAACTACTGGTCACAACATAAATATCTCCCACAGTTTAATGCCATTTTATCATATTAAGTGTATTCAAAATCACATTTTAATAGCTTAAACTCATAATTGTCCTTTTTTGTGGTTTACAAGAAGAAAACAAAGTAAACAAAATCTATAATTTTTCGTAAAATAATTGTCTAAAGTATTATAAAAAGTATTGGAGCTCTGTGTGACAGATCAGCTATGATTAAGGTTTATTCTGGAATAAAAATGTTTAATATTTTTGAATATTTACAATATTATCACAGAAACAGCAAGAAAAGCCTTGAAATGTAGTTTCCAGGTGTAGTATGTGTTTAACACTGGAGGGTTTTAAGTTGAATTAAAATCTAATCTAAAATCTTCTTTGTGGACACATTTTAGCTCGTATCCAGCTCAGTGTCCTTTCTTTATGGCTGTTAAAAGTATTTTCTTTTTCTTGATTTACCAGCAAATTAACTCCTTTGAACACTGAAGGATTTAAAGAATTTGCTTTGTTGTTATTACAGCATCTAATTCAGGAAGCTGCCTGAGGTTGAGGACGCTCCTGCCTTGGACTTGACAAATGCTTTTCTTCTCCGATTTACAAAAGGATTTTTTTTTTTTTTATTAAAAACAAAACGTGGAAGAAGAGAGTTCACTCACCTAAAGAGACTGAAGACATCCATCTTTACAGAGTCGAGTTGAGGAACTTCAGACTGATGTAAACCAGAAGATGAGAGAATGATTCTCTGCAAGAGGAAAGATTTCTGTTCTTTGAGCTCACTCTGCTTCTTCTTTACAGCTGCTTTCCCTAAATATTTAATATTTTCTAGAAAGCCAGACCGCAGGAGAGATGGAGGTCCAGGTTCTGGGTATTTTGGTCTGCAGGGATCTGTGGTTCTAATAAGAAATGTTTAGTAAATAGACTTTTTAAAAGAGAAAAATCATTAAACTGCAAAAAAAAAACATGAATAACACTAAAATCATCTGAAAATAAAGACTACACATACGAGGATGCAGGGCTGTAACCAGGAGTCATGAGTTCCCCCAGCATAAAATAAAAAAAGCTCTGTAATTTAGGTTAATCATTTATATTTTTGTGTTTTCTTTATAGTCAACTGCTCAATAATAACAGTTAACTTGTCCATTATGTTTCTTAAAACTGTATTTATATTGTTTCAAAGCCATCTCCACACTGCAGTTTATATATTTATTGTTTTGTTGGCTTCAAATTTAAGCATTTGTGTCTAAGACGACAGGAATCAGTTCATACGATAAAATAAAATAATAGTTTTTAATATGAGGGATGTTGTTAAAATCCTTCTCACAAAAAGGCAAAAGAGGCCTAAACATTAATACATGAGTAATAATAATCTAATTATACATTACATAACAGTATATCATTAGATATACTAGTAAGTACACTTTCCTGATAAATAATGATCATTATAAGCTACCAGATACATTATACTGTCCCTATAGGTTCATACAGGGGCAGATCAAGATGCCTTGAAACCCCAGTTTGGTGTCAAATGCTGTCAAATTTAACACATTAATTTAGAATCATTTTAAAAATAACAAAACAAAAGTTAACACATAATTTAATGACCTGTTATGGACACATGTGTGACTAAGTGAGTGGCTTCAGTTCAATGAAAAAAAGACAAGCAGCAGAAATATTATAAGTCTATAGACCAACTGTGGTGATGTTAGAAACTAACAGAGGCAGCAGGTAGTCATTATAGGAATATCAGAGCTCATATAACATTCCCTAAGAATTAGAACATTAAAACATAATTAATTCACTATAAAATCATTAGACAGCAGCTAAGAGACAATACTGTAATGTACCAGAGGCACCATGAAATATCCTACATATCATAAAATATAGTTTTACATGGCTTTCAGTATAATTATGTGTAATATATTGGCCTCAAACACACCATCCACTCCAATATAGACAGCTTTAGGAATATTGTAATGATATTAAGAAGCATTCCAGGTAAAGTCATTAAACAGAGATACATTATACCTACCAACAGAAAGTATATAGAATATTAAAGTGATATGTTCAGACAAAAGGAGAATGAAAAAGGCCTTTCAGCTGTAATTAATTCACCATAAACTTATGATTAACCGCTTACAGCTGCAAACATCTGTAAACACCATCAGGTCGCTGCAGAGCTCCACATTAAGTCCTTGAAGCTCCAGTGTTTCCGGGCCGTCTGGTCCCGGCGGGGTTACCTCTGAGAGCCGGTCTGAAGCTCCGGTCCGGTCCCGGTCCCTCCTGCAGCTGAACGGTTTTACCGGAGAGTAAAAAGCGAAGTCCGACGCCGGAAAAACTACAAAGAGCACGTGAAGTGACGTGAGGCAGCAGGTCAGCAGGTGATTGGCTGCTCGGACTGTTAACAGGGGACCGAAGTAAAGCTGAGTTTAAAGGTGCATCACTGTTTCTAAAGAGGAGCCTGCAGGAAACATCTGCAGCAGCTGTTTACTGGAGACACAGAGCGGCTGCAAAGACTATAAGTGAAAGTCTCTAGAGAAATATAATTAAAGTATGAAATTATTATTTAGTTAAGTTAAAAAAAAAAAATCTTAATTCCGGGAGGTGGTTTTACTTTGGTGGTCATTTGTTTTCTTTGTGGCTCAGCAAACATCCCAATAATTGTGTCTAAATCAATCAATAATAAAAACATATTTCGAGAGATTAAAAATCTTTTATAAAAGTCAAGAATTTCTTAGAAGTTTAACTTTTTATCGAAATTGTGAGTTAATTTGAACTTAGTTAAGAATTAGACAAACAGACATACGGACTATAAATAAGCAGTCTAACGTGCAGTGAATGAGATCAGGTCGCTCCTGAAGAGAGAGAGCTGCTCACTGCCCTGAATAAAGGAAGGTAAAATAAATAAATAAATAAATAAACAAACACACTATGATAAATTAATAATAAATAAAGCAAAAATAGAGAAAATAGACAAATAGGCTAAATGAATGCTGGCACATTATGGAAGTGTTTTGTTTTACAACTATAAATAGGCTTAATTAATATTTACATCTATTTTGGTGATTTCGACAGAAATGATAAAATAGTTAACAGCCTAATTTGTGTGAAATTTAAAAATAAAGAAAACAAAAAAACATGGAACAACAAAACTTGAATTAAAAAATGTTCGATGTCTTCAAAATAAGAAAAAAAAAGTCAACTTTTACTATTTTACTACTAAACTTTAAAAAGTTCTCATCAGGTTTTAAGACTCAGATTTTGTCTGAATTTGACAATCTGAAACAAACAAACAAGAAGCTGCCCTGTTAGGTAAGTTAAAAACAGAAAACCACTGACACTGTTCGGAGATCTGATTGGTTGATTGGTTGTTAAATCAAACAAATTATACTTTAAATATCCCCTGAAGTTTCCATCAACACCAGAAATTTAACTGGTCTCAGTTTTATGTGAACAAATGAAAATGAGGCTTCAACTTTTGTTTCTTCAAAAGTTATATAAAAATAAAAGTGCAGCTTTCAGTCAGGCAGATTTGTGCGTAGTTGGAAATCAAACAAAAGACCTGAACACACAAAACTAATTGTCAAAATAAAGCTATAACATAAAGTTCTGAACAAACCTGCAGTTAAAGCTGTGTTTCCAAAGAGTGAAGTGTTCTATCATGTAAAAAAGTCTGAAAGTTATGGATCTAATATCAATAATAATCACCTAACAGTTGGTGATCAGTGGAGTGAAATTAGATCATTTCAATATGAAGAAGCATTTTAATAAATTTCACCTCCACAGAGTGAAACTCATCTGGGAGTTTAAAGGAATTTGAGAGTTTGTGACTTCGCATTTTTGTTTGAGTCAAACCTTGTAAAAACCAAACCGCATCTGCGGAGGAAGAAAGTAGGTCCAAACCATGTTCTCCACTTACCTCTGTAATGTCAATTGCCATTGTTGGCTGCCGTGTCCGCGTCGCTCCGCCCCTCCATGTGTTGGAGTCCGGCGGGATAAGGGTAACTCCTCTCCTCCTGCAGCCGATCAGCTGGACTTCTTCCCAGGGAGGCAGAAGAAGCAAAAAGCCGGAGGGAGGGAGGGGGACGCAGGCAGACACCCACCGGACAGACCCGACCACATCCAGCCAGAGCACGGGGTGGCCGCACCATGTCCTTCAGCCCAAAGCACTCCACTCCCTTCTCAGTCACCGACATTTTGAGCCCGATGGAGGACAGCTACCGGAGGTACGGAGGTATGGATCCCGCCGCGGGGAGCCTAGGGTCTCAGCTGAGCGCCTACCGGCAGCCGCAGGTCTCACAGCCGGGTATGCAGCATCAGCAGCAGGGGCAGCAGCATCAGCCGCCTCATCTCCACCATCATCATCACCACCATCACCATCACCACCTGTCCTCCTCTTCATCCTCATCCTCCTCCTCTTCCTCAGCCTCGGCCACCGCAGCAGCAGCAGCAGCCGCCCTGGGACCCAGCGGGCCCTATCATGTGCCCCACGGGGTGCCACAGTTCTCCGGGCCCGTCAGCGGGTTCTGCAACGGCGGCATCGGCAACGTCGGAGACCTGCCGTCCTACCAGGAGACGGTGCGGGGCGGAGGAGCGGCAGCGGCGTGGTACAGCAACCCAGAGCCCAGATACCCGACAAGTAAGGAGCTTCACTTAAAAAAAAAAAGTTTGTTTTTTTTAATCTGAGAAAAGTTTTTTTTAAAAAAGAGAGAAATTGTGACCCGGACGATTGGGAAAAAATGTTTTTAAACTAAAGACTGTGTTTGGTATTCAACAGTGAGATTAAAGTGACTTTTACTGTATTTTATAGTATCTAAATTACCACAGGCAGCACTATTATGTTTCTATATAAAGGATTTATAAACAGGCCTTCTCAAAATTCAGTTTTGTGACCTTAAAATTCTTTTATTTGTAACGTTTATATATCATCATATAGTGACCACAGAGAGTTTATAGTCCTCCAGAGTGACTTTAATTTCTATAAGTTCTGTAACTCTTTATGGTGACATTAATGTACATTAATTATATTTATGAATAGGCTAATTTGTCTGCTTTGATAACGGGAGATAATCCGAAAGATACTCTTAAACTAATTTAATAAAAAGCAAGATGTTTACTTGCTTTCTACTAAAAATACTTAACTTAAATATTGTTTTCTACTTTTTGAAAATGTGTTTTTAACAGGCCTTTGTATTAATCAGCATTTTAAAGAAAAATAAAGATATTTATAATATTTGCTGATAGATTTAAGGATTGGCATCATCATTTTAAATGTTTTCTTGAGGACAATATCGCCAGTTAAATTCAACACTGAGCTCGTCCTTTTTCATTTAAACATTGGTAATTTTCTGGCTAAGTTTCCAGATTCATGGGCCCCTCCGCCGGGATGAACATGTCCGGGATGGTGGGCAGTTTGTCCGGGATGGACTCCACCGGCAAGTCCATGGTGACGCTGCACGCCGCGCCACGGAGGAAGCGGCGGGTGCTTTTCTCTCAGGCGCAGGTGTACGAGCTGGAGCGGCGCTTCAAGCAACAGAAATACCTGTCCGCCCCGGAGAGGGAGCACCTGGCCGGACTGATCCACCTCAGCCCGAACCAGGTGAAAATCTGGTTCCAGAATCACCGCTACAAGCTGAAGCGGCAGACCAAGGACAAGACCACGCAGCAGCTGCAGCAGGACGGGAGCAGCGGCGGCGGCGGCGGAAACGGTGGAGGTCTGTGCGGGACGACCCACCGCTCCTCCTCCGTGTCCCCGGTCCTCTCCAAGAACGGTAAGAGCTGCCGGAACGACTCCAGCGGCTCCAATCAGACCGGAAACCGACAGAGCAACACGGTGGAGGCCTTGAACGCGACCCCGCAGCAGCAGGTGAACCAGCTGTCGTCCACGGAGGAGCTGGAGGACTTGTCCCCAAGTCCGCCGCTGGGACTGCACGGTCAGATCAACATGACGCAGACGGACGCGGCGCTAATCGAGTACACAAACAGCATGATCGGCTCCAATTTACTGTACGGGAGAACTTGGTAGGAATACCGGGAGGTGGACAGACGGGATCGGGCCTGTGGGGCATCATTCTCGGGTTGGATTTTTCAGAGAATCGGCTGCAGGTCAAAGACGAGCACCAGACGTTTTTTAATTTTCATTCCGTGCGTAAAGTTCTGGTTCCTTTACGCACACAGGGACTCAAAAGACACTCAGTGGTTTTGTGCAACAAGGTTCGAAAATAAACTGCATTAGAGCCTCGAACCTGGACTTAATGTTGCTGATAATGTATTTTCTCCCTCTTCAAAACGAAATATTTGTTAAGTCTTATTTTTTTGTTGTTAATTACAGTTGTGACTGCTGCTGCTTTTAAGCTCATGAAACAAAACCACTAAATCCAATTTGCGGGCATTCAGGATGAGGCACGCGCACTGTGCTTCCCGTTCATCTCTAAGACAAATTAAATTATTGCAGGTTTAAACATTAACTTAATACAAAGTGAAACGATGAGGCCTGGTTGGACAACAAAAACAATCCCGGCTGTTTCTCGGTTGGAATTAAAGGAAGTGAGAAAGATTTTAGTGGAAGTAAAGTCATCACATACTTTTTGTCACATCTGATTTTTATTTGTTTCCAGCATTAAATAAATGATATTTTCATTTTGGACATTTCAATGTTTTTTTGTGCAACCTGAAGAAAAAATGTGATCGTTTTAAGTGTTTTTTTTAATTTTTTTTTATAAATTGTATTTGAAGCAATGATAATAATAATCAGCAGGCTGAAGCCACAATATAAACGGTAGTTTGCGGTTCCATAGCGACGCTTAACTTTACCGGAATATTCACCAGGAAATACTCAAAGCTTCAGGTATTCTGCAGTAAAACTGAAGTTAAATCTAAATTAACAACGAAAAATGATCATTTTTCATTTTGTGAAGAAATCTCGATTCTTTTGGGAGGTTTATTAAAAATGAGCGACTTTTAAAATGTTTGTGCTTTTTAATTTTGGTAAGATTTAAGTGTAAATAAATCAGTATTAAGATAGAGAATATTATTCCTGTTACACAAATATAATCCCAACATCAATGTTTTATTTCATTTTGTTTTAAACACATTAGATCACTTTGGAGGGACTTCTCTCAAAAGTAAACACAGCGGGACACTTTGTCCGTGACTCACTTGTATTTTACAAGTTTTACAGGCTGTTCATCTTAAAAATCACAAGTTACATAATAAGTTGTAAGTAGAATAAAAAGAAAAAAAACCCACATTGAATTTTACAAGAAGACAATAAAATGAAAAAAGATCACGTCTCCCCTACAAATAGTCACCCTGCCCTCCCCCAATTGAAACCCCAAAGTCCAACATTACTTTGAGTTTATTTCCAGTTATATCTTCTGGATGGAGGAGGAGGAGGGTAACCTCTGCCAGAGCTGTAGCCCTGAAAGACAAGAAATATACAGTAGAACAAGCTCTGTGTTTAAGAAAGAAGATGTAAATAATACCACAGCTACAGTGATTAAATACATCTACCGAAAAATAAACATAGTTACAAGTATATCCAAGTTTGGGGATTACATTAATGCAAATTATCTCCAACAGTGAGTGGACTTTTATCTTTAATTCAATTTCAATTTCTGTTCCCCCCCCACCTTATTTTTTTTTGCTAGAGACATTTTTAATCACATGAATCAATACACTTAAAAACAGAACTGTTTTATGTTGAAAGACATAAAATTAATTAAAAAAACAAAAACAAAACTTTATTCACAGACTCTAAAGCTAATTGACAAGTAACAAATGACCAAGTTTGAGGTTTTATTTTGAAACATTTTATGTGTTTGATGAGTGATACATTTTTATTTTGTCTATTGGAGGTCAGTTTACTACAAACTACAATTTTTTAAAATCATTTTTATCATTGGAACTATTTTCTACTGGAGAAATATTCCTCATTACAACCACAGACAGTGAATTTTGGATTATTATAAAACATTTTTTCTTTTTGAGAGCATCACAAACCAAAAATGCATTCTCCACTGGTTTGGGGTGATGACAGAAACCTCAGACAGAAACGCATAGACTGATATTATTGGAGATTTCAGTGAGAAAAGAAGTTATTTTTTTGTGAACTAAATCTGATTAAATCCCTGGTTGATCAGTAACAAACTGTTCTGTTTCAGCTGCATGAAACCAAACACATTTTTTTATTTTTTTACACTGAACTTCCCATTTCATTTGAGTAAAAGAAGACTAACACAAGTCAGATATAAACCATCATATTACTACCACCATCAGAAGACAGTCTGCATGTGTGTTGATTAAAAATGGTCAGTTGAGTTTTAGGTGTTTCATGATTCTGTTTAAAATATCCTGAAATCTTAAAATGTGTTCAAATTTACAAAAACAAAATATCAACATAATGGAGTCAAAACAGTTAGTTGATTAATATAAAGTGAAGTGTCAGTAATTGTTGATAAGTGATTAATCATTTCAAGTCATTTATTGAGCAAAAAAGTCAAACATTTGATGGTTGCAGCTTGTGAAGGTTTGAGACTCTTGTTTGTGAAATGAGCATCTGTTTTAGAGTCTGCTGACATTTTATAAACTCAGATTAATAAAACAACAATCGACAGATAAATTGAATCCAGAAATATGCAGCATAAATCTGGATGCTTTTTAGAGAATAAGAAATCAAAATGTAAAAACAGGATTAAAATTTGAGATTGTGAATTCTGTTTTCACGTCACTAACGATACGATCACCACAAAAGGAATTTCATTAATCTCAAAACAAGTTGAGTGAACTGTGAAGACGGTTCAGCTCTGATCGGAGAATCCAACCTGGACGAGAAGTTCAGCCACACCGAACTTCAGCTCTTTGCTACTTTTACTAAAAAGAGTACAGGAAATAAAAGTTTCAAATGTTTGAGTGAACAAAACTCTGACAGAACTGATTGCTTCACTTAACTTTTCTAGTTTTAACTACGACCTGCATGCAAAGACATCACGTTCTATTAATATCAAATATTTTGAGCTGCAGAAGAAACTTTAACTCCGCCCACGGCTCGTCAGACCAGACAGATTGTTTCTGAAGATCTCAGCGACAGATTTGAAGTATTTACCTGATGCTGTTGTCCCCGGTTGTCTCTGCGATCATGCCAGTCGTCTCTACGGTTATCGAAGCGCTGCTGGTAGCTGCCTTGCCCGGCCCCTCCCCGTCCGCGGTTCACGTTCTGCTGGTATGCCGACTGCTGCGACTGCTGGGCCCGATCCCAACCGTGACCCCCACTTCCGTACTGGTGCTGCTGCTGTCTGGAGACACGAACACACTGAACCTGTCAGCTTCTGAAAAATCCCTGTTGAGTACACTCAAGGTCTTAAATTTATACATACATTTTCTACCATGTTGAACTCCAGGTTGTGTTTATGTCTGAAGTGGATTTAAAGACTTTGGAAGAAGAGGTACCTGAACTGAAAAAAGAACTGCTGCTGATGGCTGAAACATCCCTGAATCTGTTAATGCAGTTAATGTACTTTATCCTTGGCTAGGAAGCAAAACACAATACTGTATAATCTCAGGTTTTTCAGGTTATCTCAGTGTGAAGTTGGAAATACTTCACCACAGGTTAAAACAGGTTCATTCACAGTAACAAGGCCATTATAAAGCATTAAGCATGTTGACATAATCACCTTTTGATTAATTTCTAATGAATATGAGTTTTTACTCAAAATGTTACACTTGTTATTGGCTGGATGGTGTTAAACTAATGTGGATTAAAGGGCCGATTCTGCATGAATTAAAACCAGGAACAGCTTTTGGTTCAATGCTCGGCCAAATAGTAGTTTCTTCTATATTTGTTTGTTTAAATACAGAAATTAAAAGTTGTACCTGCTTTATGCACAGGGACAAACTGCTACTTTCTTCAATACCTACGTTTGAGTAATATTAACATGTGGTTCCATGTAATAAAATGTGCCAAGCCAGTGATTAATGTTTTAAAGACATGCAGACAAAAGAAGGAGAGATTTAACAATCAGTTGACGACAGAACTATAATTGGCTATTTTTGTATAATAACCATTTTGATGATTGATTCAGTCATTTTTTAAAAACAAAATTAGTGAAAAAGTTAAAACCATTCTCTGGCTGCAGCTTCTCCAGTGGGAGAATCTGCCTATTTTTTCTGTTTTCTTTGGTCAAACAACATGATATCTGAAGGTGTCTGCTTGAACTCGTCAGAAAATAAAGAGAAATATCTGTCATTTTCCCGGACTAAACTATTTGCAGACTTATTAAAAAATAACTGCTCAGTTTAAACCACTTTATTTTGGCAAAGTTATGATTGAGACCTCAAAATGTTTCATCACAAAGTAAACAGAGGTTTTCGATGATTTACGTTACAATTTGTCCTCAATTCAAAAAGTCCTGAGGTTCTATTTTATTGATGGAAAACCAAAAAAGTTTAGATGTATTTATGTTATGAGGATTTTTCAACCAACAGATAAAACGCTGAACTTTGTGATCCTTTAACTCTGCTTTGAAGTGACCCCACTAAAATCCCCATCGACAGGCGTTTACTGAGGGATCGAGCTCTCAATGAGATAAAAGAGCCTCTCCTCTAAGATGACTTAGTGTGGACGCACATGAAAGAAGACGTATGAAATGATCCATATTCACATATGGCTCGGATCGCCCTCATCCCTGAAATGAGGCGGCCGCATTGCGTCCGTGGGACCGAGTGAAAAGTCGGCACGCCACGGCCCTCCAAACCACTGCCGGACAATGTGTCAATCCAACAGTGATATTAGTAACAATGAAGAGAGAAGAGACTAAGAGCAGCAGCCCCATCCCTCATTACTGAACCATGTCACACTCTGGCCAGCGCCGGACTTATCCGAGCGCTGGAATCCATAATCCCCCCCTCTCCAAGTTCCTCCTGCATTTCATTTGGTCCGGTCCTGAGCAGTTAAAGAAACTGTTTTCAGTCGCCGCTAATAACTACTGACCTGAGGTGACACCAAGCCACAATGGGCCTGAAAAGTTGAACCGGAGAACCTGATTAGGACTTTGGAGAGGTCTGGAGCCAGAATCAATAGCCGAACTGTGCTGCTGTGGCGCAGGGAACGAAGCGGCCTCCAACAGCATTAGTGATGCCTCATTAAGTTGCACAAACCTCCTCGAGAGAAATTTGTTTTAGAGTGACGGGGAAAAATCTTAATTCAGCAGCAGCAGCAAAGCCCCTCGACAGAGGAAGGCAGAGCGCGGGTGTAGAAAGGCTGGAAATCTGCGGGGGGATTTAGATGGAGACAAGCTACAATACCCACAAACTAGGCCTGTGACATGTTTAATGCACACGAGTTCTACATACGATTGTAAAAAGGACACAGAGACGAAAAGGAAGCGATATTTTCTCTCAAAATATTTCATTAACATTAGGCATAAAATTAAACCAACCGACTACAATGGATAGGGTGGTTGAAAAAGTCCTTGAGTGATACTGTAACAAAGAGAAATACCTCATTTAGAGTAAGAGGATGAAAATTTATGTAATTCTCTTTTTTGGATCAGTGTTTATATCCAACTAAATGTCAGCACGCTGACCATGAACTTTACTGCCCAAGGCAACCAGTAAACGTAGTTTTATAAAAAGCAGACAAACCGCCCGGCTCACCTTGGAAATTGGGGCTGCTGGAAGGGGGGAGGCGCTCCCAGCAAGCTGTTCTGCCTGGAATCTGCGGAGAACAAAAGACAACATGTTCAGAAGTGGTTCTGCTGGACTAAGTTTGAAGTTCTCGAAGAACCAGAGAGCTCAGTCCTCTGAGGAAAGACCAATTTGTCCTAAATTTTATGTGCAACTGAATGCTTTTAATACAATATGAAACCAGCAGTAAGGAGAAGGTTGCTGTCAGGTGTTATTGTTTTACTATATTTTTTTATCTCAAACTTTAAACATGTGGCTCAGTTTAAATACTCAACAAGGAAAAAAATAAAATAATAATGTTGTTAAAAGAAGTATTTCACATTCACATCATCCGAGTCAACTTTTCTGAGTTAAACTGCGATGAAACCTCCAGTTTCATTGTTTGGAAGCCAAAAGGATTTGACATTAAACATGGATACTAATTAACCCAATTCAAGTCAGCTTTAACCTTGAAGATTAAAAAACAAAAAATACCAACTATTTCATTTCTGTCATGGATACAGAACGAATCAGTTGTCATGATAAAATTAAGCTCTTTCAAACGTTGAATCGTGGCGAGCTCTGGAGGTGGAGGAGGGGGGGGAGGCAGCGGGGCGAGCCAGAGCGCTACATTTGCATTTTTTGTTCAGAAAATGAAATAAGCATTCAGCCGGCAGCATTGTGGACGCCTCAAGTACCCTGGTTCCATCGCTGCAAACCCTTCACAAAGACACACTTAAAAAAAAAAAAAAAGAAAAAAAAAAAAAAGGGAGCTAACGGCTTCTTCCAGATTCACTGTTGCCAAGGCGATGACCAGCTGCAAGCCACGGACTTGTTTGTTTATAGGGGCAGGCCTGCTGAGTGGCTCAGCTCAGGGTGGGTGAAGGGTACCATGAAAAGGACCTGGAGACTCACATTTACAAACCTGGGAAGGAGTCGGTGTAAAAATTAAGATTCGACCGATACGAGTTCACAGAAGCCGATGTTTATGTTTCTGGATTAAAGTCGATACCGAGTGTAGATACTAAAACTGGAGCAGGAACATTTCTATCACAGTAATTTGACATATTTAGCAGGTCTAGGACTGCAACAATTATTCTCATGATCGATTATTTTATTTAGGTTATCTGGTTAAAGCTTCTCAAGTGCAAACATTTGCTGGTCTTCTATAGGCAGGTTTCCATCCAAATGTAGAACATTTTAAATTAATGTGCACATTAATTAGCATTTTCTTTTGCAGAATTCCTAGAATTCTGGAAATGTTCACCTGCTTCTGTTAATATCTAACCTGACTGCGCCAGATGGTTTGTTACACAGAACCATCCCAGAAGCTATTATTGTAAACTATTTGGAAAAGGGCAGGCACCAAAACTATTCAGCAGGTGATTGAATGAACCATCCATCACCGTTATCCTGCCCACACTTCAACCAGTCAGGTCAACGAACCATATAACGCAGTCAAACTCTTAGAGAAGCCAGTTGGGAGAAGATCGAAAACATCTTTTCCATCTAGACAAACCTTCAGTGTCGTTTCTCTTCTTAAAATTAAGAAAAACTCTCCAGTTCTGATATATCTGATGCTAGCAGCATCAATGCTAACCTCTTTAGCAGCCACCACCTTCTCACTACGTCACATCTAGTCCACGCTGACAACTTAAAGAGAAGCTAAGCAGGAAATATTCCACCAGTTCCCTGCTGGCTGCTGCAGAAAGTAGTAAAAGACACAATTACCAGCAAGCAGGCAGACTGCTGTCGGCACATCATGATTTTGTTTTTGTCATTCAGTTTTCATGTTTGATTATCTCCTCCACCAACAAACTTTAAGTGGACCACCCAGTTGGGCTCCAATTATAACTCCATGGCACTCTGGTCTTCTTTTCCTCATCGCCAGCGATGACTCAAAAGAGGGAATTACAAGTGGACACCTGTCAATCTCTTTAATTAACAATGATCTGAAAGTGTATAGACCTCCAGTCTGGGCCGGACAAAAGCCACCAAAGGATTACGCTTTAAATCCTTAAAACACGCTGTGTCCACTGTATTAATGCAGGGATTACAACCGCGCTAAACAACTAAACGTCTCTCTCCACCTCTTTTCAATTAGTTCAGCGACTATTTGACTCAGCTCTCGTCCAGCCAGCTCAGGTTTGATAACAGTAGCAGGGCAGTAACTTTTCTGTCTGCTGGACAAAGCAGAAAGATTCCCAAAACAGCATCTGCCACTGCTGCTCCACAAGACAAGAAATCTCAGAATGAAAGCCAGTTCAGAGCACAACGGTTAAAATCAGAATAATTTATTTTAATAATTTATAGTAAGAATCAGGACTGTGTACCGTTTGAAAATGTGTTTGGTTGTTTTCTGCAGAGCTTCAATCAATATAGGAGTATTAAAACAAAGCACAAGCAAAACTAGAGCTTCAGTAAATTAGTCCTTGTGAGAAGAACGACAAGCTCCTGGATTGCTCAAAACACTCTGTTTTAAGAAGCTCCAAAATAAATATGTTTTGTAATTCATTTCTTTTGACAGAGAAAAGTCCTGTGAGAGAACAGAAATACTGTTATCACCAAGGCCACATGTATTTGGTGCCTCCTTGTTATTGAAGTTGGTCTACCAGGCAGTGTGTGCTGCTATTATGTGCAGTTGTTATTCTGAAGTGGTTGGGGAGTTTGGAGGCTTATCAGCCACTGTGGTCGCTGGATGAATCTGTTACTTTGCTGCCCTGGTTAAAATTTGGTGTCACTGTGTGTCAAGACAATAATGGCCACCAGCAGAGACTCCCCGGCTAGTTATTAAACACCAGCTGGTCTGGCTGCAGCATACAAAGCCTTGCAGCATGTTTCAGAGGCAGCATGTTGACACATCACCGCAGGAGGTAGCAGCGCTGTCAAAGAGGGAAGTTAACTTTGGTTTCAACCCTCTTCAGAGCGCATCACACTCCCAATCAAACGGGATCCTCCCGGATGCTTTTATCAGAGGGGGCCACTGTGTCCAGCGGAGCCACTCAACAGTCTCATTACTGGCCCAGGTCTCCCACAACGCTAATCAGCAAACAACCCCCCCCCAAATCACAAAAGCCCAGAGGAGCAAAGCCTGCAGTGATTATTGGCCAAGCAGAGGATTGGCCCTGAGAAAGTGTTATCTGGACAAAAGCAAGGCTCTGGCCTCCTGCTGCAGGATAAGGCCTACTTGTCTGGATAATCAAATTCCTAGGGATGCCAATATTATCACTGGTCCACATTAAGTCCAGTTAATCAATGTTAAACAGAAATCAGATCCCTGAGTCATTTGTGTTATTAAGTAAAGCTGAATTTTTTCAGCTGCAGATGGTTAAAAATCTTATTTTAGATCAAAATAGAGCATGTGACTGTCATCGCTCAAGGAAAAGTCAAAGGGTTTCGAACTTAACACACAAAAAATCAGCAGAAATCAAATCTAATATCAGTAATACCTCCAAAAATGGCATTTATGCTCTTGGTACTTGATATAATATACCTGATATAATAAAAATCATCCTCTGTCACCAGAATCAGGCGAGCCACGTTAAACATTTATAAAGATTCACATTTGTTAAGGTAACAATTTCCCCAATGATGATGAAAAAAATATAGAGCGAGTGAGATTAAAAAAAGAATGTCCGGGACCGCTCATTGGCAAGTTTAACATTAAGAACGAGCGGCAGAGGCCAGGTGAGGTGCTACCGCAATCCGGAGGAGCCAAAAACCCCCATTTGCATCAAGTGCCACCAGAATAGCTATGACTCCCCCGCACGCCATCAGTGGGCAGATGAGATTATTCATCTACTTGCAAATTGGCACATCAAAGTCAAACTGGAGAAGAGCTGGCAGAGGACCGCAGGGCCGAGGCCGGGGCCGAGCACAGAGCGTGATTAGGAGCTGGGAAAGAGATTCTGCCTCCATATGTGACGAGCTGCTCAAACATCCCTCACATGATGAACGAAAGGCAGCCATTTAATCATATACCAACATTATTTGTCTCTTAATGAGCGACAGTTTGGTGGCTGTGAATATAAAGTGTGAAATAATAATGGTCACCGTTTGTCTATTACGTTTACATTTTATGTATTTAGACTATGCGGTTTGCTTAAAACAAGCAGGTTCTGTGTTCTGGCACAAGAACACAACTGCAGAAGAGGAGAGAGTGGAGATGTTCAGAGCTCTGAGTTTTCCTGCTTGATATGGTTTATAAAAAATGAACACTTAACACACTCAGTACTGGGTATCTGCATCTTATCAAATGCTTATAACTCACCTAAATGTTGATTAAATATGTATCTGAGACATGGACATGACAGCTGCAGCTACTAAATCTGCCCCATCTTGTGTTTTGCAAACCAAATCCAAATACTGAAGGTCCTGGTTAAAAACTATTAAGTTTATAAGCATAAATTATTCATATGATGATATGAATTAAAGATCTGACTCTTGAAACTGACATGTGATCAGCTAGAGACAAGATCTTTCACTCTGCTGGAGAGGGAACTACAATAACGCTCGCAGCAGTACAGTGGCGTTACAGCGTGGACCTTCTTCCCTCACAAAAGATCTTTTCTGATTTGAGGTGAGAAAATAGGAAATGCAGAAACAGAATTTTCATTCACATTTGATCAGCAATGCCTAGTTTGATTAGAGTTTCGGAGAATGACAATCACACCCTAACACACACCCTGCTTAATCATCTATTTATTACAAAATAAACTATAAATTACAAAATGAACGTCATGCTGAATGGAAGGAAACTACAAACTAGCGACTGAGACAAACTAACTCATTAGGAAACTTGACCGAAGTAATAAATCAAGTGAGAAGTAGGGTCATTTCTCCATACGACTCCATACTATCTGACTTCTTGTTGTAGACCGTGGACCTGCCCCCTGCTGGCCATTAGAAAGAATGCAGTTTTAAGTTACTTCCACGTTGGCGTCACTTCTCAGACCCGGAAGCTTTGTCCACTAATTATTTACTGTCAGTGATTTTAACTGGTAACAGTTTGCGCCCGGCAAAACAATGTTTTCCACAATGATCTTTGCTAATGAACCAGTTGGAGCTTCCTGAAAAAAATAAAAGTAACTATTTTGCCAATCTGGGTGTCAGAACAGAGTCCCTTGCACCAATACACACAAATATATTTCTCATTAGTATATACGAATGAAACACTGCACTGTAGCACCCGGCTGACGTGAAGGAGAGCAGCACTGCGACATCAGCAGGCCAAGAAGGGTTCAGTCAAAGAAAGGATCAGACTTTTTAAATTGGCCTTATTCTGGCCAATCCTTCAAAATCAGCCCCAATACAGATCTTCGGATCGGTTTGGGACATCTCTTAACACGACTTGTCCCAAGCTAAATTATTAAACACTAAGTGAAAAAGAGTTAACCCATCTCACTTAGACATTATTGTGTTTGCTTATTTTATTTATTTACATTATTTATTTATTCATTTACATATATATTTATTTATATTTATCTATTTATTTACATATATATATATATTTATTCTCTTGTATCAAATTAGCTCATTGATGAGCATAAAGTATCACTGAACTCTTCATTTCTTTGGTGTTTTTTCTTAATTTTACTATGTCCATATACCACCTAAAGAAAAGTTTAAACTTTCTAAACTCCAAAATATTACAGTTTAGTGGACGGACAGTTGTAAGAGTATAATACACACTGTGCCACAAAACCTAATTTCACTATATTTGAGTTTCTGTTGTATGTACATTAACAGTTTGTGACAAACCGCAGACTCAGTGACCAGGAACACGGGGCAATTGAAAGCACCAAATCAAAAGTATAAAATATATATGTGTGTGTGTGTGTGTGTGTGTGTGTATGTGTGTGTGTGTGTGTGTGTGTGTATCTATATCTATATCTATACACATACATATACACACACATACATATACACACACACATACACACACACACACACACATATAGTATAATACCATAGTAGTACCATTTCTCTCATAAAAAACAAACAAAAACCTCATGAACACATGCACAATGATCTTTCTTTTCAGGTAGAAAGACACATTGAAGGAGAAGAAATTGTTGGCCAAAAGAAAATATTAGCTGCATTTAATGGGACTAGTACATTAAGTAGGGGTGGAATAATAGAGGACGTCACATTGCTTTGTTCAATACAAGGCTACAACTGTGAATCCATCAATTCACCCAAGTTCATTTATGACCTTGGGAATGAACAGTAGTTTGTCACGGTCGAACTTGCTTTTTTATAAAACTTTCAAATACATCGAGTCATATTCACCTGATGTTTGTTCAAACTCTGTAGGGAGAGGACCTTGAAGGATTCTGTCACCACACCAGAATGGGTTTGCTGTGTCACAGAGCTGTTATGGTTTTATTTACACCTCTGAGATCTCAGAATAAAACCAGTCGGGCAAAAATAAATCTATTTTCATTTTTTGGCATTTTACTAGTATTTGAGCGCGATAGATACACAATGTGGTGAAACTGACCCTTTTATTTGAATTCATATCCACAATATACATTTTTGTCTGTTTTTTGTTAAATATCTTCTGCAATCATATCAAAGGTTCCCATGTTAATTTGTGATGCAAATACAGCAGTAAATCAAATAAACTACCATCTATTGTAGTTTAACCAACTCCTTTCAGGATGTGTGTGTGTGTGTGTCTTACGTTGGTAAGACTGCTGGCCCCCGCTGTGTTGACGGTAGTTTCCTTGTTGGTAGTTGCCTGGTGGAGGCGCGTTGCTGTACTGTCCTCTGCCATGTTGGTTTCTGTTCATATTGTGACTAAAAGAAGAGAAAAAGGTTTTACTGTAAAAATCTGATTCAAAACAACACATCCTTTTACTTATCCTATCTTTCAACCTTTTGTCACAGAAAAAACCCTAAATCTGTATTAATTCACCCACTGGAGGGTTCTATTTCCAGGTTTAGCAGTTCCCTAATGGAGGGCCATATCACCCAGTAAATGGATGTTTAAACTGAAAACAGCCAGCTGCATTGGTTTGGGCGTACTGCCTCAGGTACAGGTAAGACAAGGACCAATTCAGACAGAACCAGGCCCTCCACCCATTCATTTTGGGGGTAGTACGTTTACGCTGTGGGGGGTTGTAGGAAACGCCGGGAAAAAAAAAAACAGACAAACCCAACTGCTTCAAAGTCAGCTTCTAATATCATTAAAACTGTTAATTATTTTACCTTTTGTAATGATGGTCATGTGGTAAACAGTAGAAATACACAGCTACACAGTAATCTACCACGAACGTGAGCTTGCACATATTTAACCGGTAGCTGCAAGCCCTTGCCAGGTGATGTCGCTGGTTTGCAATCAAGGTGATTTTACATCCTAAGAGGCTTTTTTTCCCTTTTCTTCTTTAAAAAAATAAAAATAAAAAATAAAAGGTCAGACCCATGGACCTAAACTTCTGGGTAGCTGGCTCAAATAGTGAGAAATATTTATTTTTAAAATACTTATCATTTTTAGACCTTTTAGGATATTGACAACCTGGACTGAGTTCATTCAAACCTTACAAGTGATTCTGGGTGAAGTCCAATATTCAACATTCAATTATTTAAAATCAGAACAACAACAAAAAAAGATCCTTTTCTTTTTCGTGCTCACCATCCTCTGAGCACGTGCCTGTTTGGCCCATCAAGGCACATAACTGTCTGAATTACTGAATTAACGACTTAGTTTAGTAGGAAAAAGAAAAAAAATTGGAATACGCTGTGTTTCTTCAAATCGGTGCATAATTAATTCCCAAACACGCTACAGTCGGGCCGAGCCAGATGTTCAATTATTCACATTTCCTTAATGATAATATCAATGTGTGGAGGAGAGAGCTTAGATCATAATCAAGGATGGCTGGTTAATGGGGACCGTTAGGGGGGATACAAACATTTTAAGATACTGTACTCTACTCCCAAATCTGAATACAGAGTCACTGCAGAATCAGCAGTCACTGTTTAACACTGCCTGCTATAAAATTTGAGTTAAATGGAAATTTACTGTGAGCAAATCTATTGCATTTTTTTAACTAAACCATTTCTGACTGGTAAAAAGAAATTATTTGCATTTTTTTCATACTTATATTCCTTCCAAATTTGTCATTGATCTGTCTGTAAGACAATAAAAGTGAGGAATCTTTCTTGCAAAAGGAATTTCATAACAAAAGAGCTTAATCAGACCTTGTAGATGGACGCTATGACTGGTAACTTACCCCAGAGCACGGAAGCCGGACTGGTCCAGGTGAGCCTGCTGCCTGTTTGGATTGAAGCCCAGCTGGGGTCTCCATGGTTCCCTGTTCCCCCTCTCCCAGTCTCCTGGCTTCAGGACCTTATTGGGCATCCTAAAAAACAACAAACAGAGAGAGTCAAAGCTTCAGTGAGAAAGATTTTCATGTCAAGAATAATGGCAAACACTGCAAACTCTACTTTGGCCACATTTATTGTTGTGTGGAATTTAGTGTTTGTGTACTTTTCTATCACTTTAAAAATCAAAGATTTGTTGGTGATGCCTCCTGGTTGGAGCACTCACTCACTGTTTTGTGTAATTCTGTATAAAACAGCTTGTTTTGAGTGGAGGGGAACTTTAAAACCCCTCAAAGTAATGTTTTGTTTCTACAGTGTGATGTTTGATCTTCACTGTGCAGTATGATGCATCTGCCAGTTTGACACTAGAAAGATGTTTTCACATTTATCTGCTGAAAGTGGAAAGTTTCTCTGTGCTCATTGAAAATCAGATTTTAAAAAAGGGACAGACCTACGAGCATGATTTGTGCCATGACAAATATTTGGAAGTCAAGCCTGGTCCAGTATGCAACTTATACAAGTGTGATGTAGAAACTTTAACCAACCATGGCACATCCACCGAGAATGGAATACAATTCTCCAGGGATGTCATTTGCTTCATTTCTTAAATTTGGTGGGAGGGAGGGAGCTAGCAGAATTTATGGGTTCCATTATTAAAGTGCAATAATAATGATTGAAACTCTTTCCACACCTGAAAAGAAATGGACTTAAATGTTTAGTATTTCTGAGCTAAACAAAAAAAACACTCACTTAGCTCCAGAAAGGAGGACCGCCTTGAACACAAAGTCATCTGCGTAATGGGGATCCTTGAACTTCACCCTGGAAAGCAGAAGAAAATCATTTTCAACTGAAGACAAAAGTAGTTCCATTAACTCACATTTTTAAAGCTCCATTATGTAACTTTTCTACCTTAAAATAACACTACACTGAGTTGTAATAGGGTCAACGGTGCCTCTGGGATTTTCCACTCTGTGCCCTGTATGCATGTTTCTGCACTATATAGCTTTCGGCTCCAGGTCTGAACAGGCGTGCAATGCCTTACAGAGTTTTCTGATGGACAGTAAAGTAGCTGCTGGTATCTTATTAGTTAAGCCGTATTGTCCGGGACTGGGTGCTCAGAGGAAGTTATCAGGCCTGGGACAGTGGGAGCCGGGCGAGCGGGCAATGTAACCAGGCTCAGTAACTTCTACGGCCATAGTTAATGGCAGAAGGGAAGAGGACGACGAAGGAAGTCAAGGAGAGAAAAGGAGAGAAAAGCCGCTGGACAACAGTAAATGTGGGACTGGCTTTTAGTTGTTAGCAAGATTTTCATTAAATAAAAGACTGCAGACAGAAAGTGACCCGGCCTTCTTGCTGTTAGATTAGTATGTCTTGTGTTGTTGCACTTGCTTGATGTTTGGTTGTGTTAAAGTTGTGGACTCTAATATAATCATAACAAATTCACATGTTCACGTGTCCATATTTACAGCTTATTATTGCAACTGGAGGTGTCAAATCATACAAATACCAAATCTTACATAATGTTTTAAAAAGGAAGAATTTCCCCCTCAACAGTTTGTGAAGTTAGAGGTTGAGTATTAGTTTGTGATGAAGTGTTGTCATTTTCTGCTCAACCTGCCTCGTCTACTTCAACCTGTCATTTCCGACATGTTCCTGAATGTCCTTTCAGCCTCGGTGAATGGCTGCACACTTGTGTGTCTAAAAATAATCTGTGGTCTAGCTGAGCTGCAAATGTCTGTGTGGAAGTATATCAGTGAATCACTGGGACAGACAAAATACACAGGAAAGAAAGGTCTTAGATAGTTTGTTTGCATAAAGTATATGTGATTGGTTTTACAAAAGTGGTGGACAAAATAACATGAACATCTGACCATATAATACAATACCTTAGAAAAGCCCACAGATTTGAACCAACTATGACAGTCTCAACCAAACTTTACATTTTAAGAAGCTATGAAAAAAAAGTTAATAGATTGCTTGATGGAGGAAAAATGTATCGCCAACCATTTTGATGATGATTTCAGTCATTATCATCATCGGCTAGTAGCAGGATCGCAGATGTGAGGATTTGCTCTCAAGTTGGAACAAAAGAACTAGAAATATGACAAACTCTTAGTGTTTATTGCTTCTGTTTTCAGACAGTTAATGGTGATGATAGATGTTCCTTACCCAATTGCACTGTTCTGTGAAATGTCACGCAGCATTGGGATGGGTGATGTCACCGGCCTGAAGGATAAATGTCAAAAAAAACAGAATGAATAAATAAGCAGGTCAGAATCATCACACTGGCTCGGCTGTCCCTCAGTGAGTGTTATAAACATTGGAACATGGGACAAAATGTACAAAATGTACAAAAGTGGGAATAAAGCAGGCAATCCTTACTTATCTGGTAGAATAGGGTCGTCATCAAGATTTAATGTACCTTGGATTCCATGGCACAGCTCTGCAGGGATCTCAGTGCCCTGAAGGAAATAATAGTGTAGTCAGTAAAGTGCTAAATGGTGATCTGATTCAGGATGTCAATGCAGCAGCATTTACTGACCAGATGAACATAACTAACAGTCCATATAATTTATGCTCACACCTTATTAAATGAGAAAGAAACTGACTATAAAACTGAAATAATGTTTATCAAGGAGCAACTTTTGTTCTGCTAGCATCAAGGGAATAACTCATTTTGGACAATGTGTGGGCTTTACATACAATATATCAATAATCTAATGTTTGGTCCACACAGGAGGTGTTTGAGCCACATTTTCCATAAAACTATTTGACAACATTGGTGCTCCTGAAGCCTTTTTTCATTTGATCTAATGCCACAATTGGGGGAATCTTCACATGTTCAGCTCTTCTACTAGTAAAACACTAAAACAGATACTGTAAAGCATCAGTATGTTGTTTGTTCTTTGGGATATAGTAACAGTTGGCTAAACAGAGCTTCAGATTTGTATCTTGTTTTAAGTAAGAAAACACTTGAGTGAGACCAGGGTTGGGCCGATGTAAACATTTTCAAACAGGTTCAATATTAAGCCAAATACAAGACCAGACCGGTAACAGAGATACAGGAAGTCTGACTTTGTATTAACAGCATGATGCAGTAACTTTAACAGGGCAAACGGACTGTACCAGCTGGCTAGCTGCGATTCTAACATAGTAAATGGATGTGATAAGCATGAGGGACATGACGGTTGTCAGGGACAGGGTTATATGAAAGTTGTATTGAAAAAGGAAAATTATGGAGTGGGGTCATTAATTATTCATTTTCCAGCAAAGTATTTCACAAACTAGTAAGCAACGTGAAGACACCGCTAACTCTGCACCTCGTCTGCTCAGCTATGATGCGTGACACTACATGTGCAGCAGACGGAGCTGAGAGCATGCTTTTTGTCCCTTTTTAATCTGTTGGAATGGCTCGACTGGCCAAAAATGAGAAACCGACCCAACCCCGCCAAATCTGACCAGTCCTGGTTAATGTTTGCTTCACTGTTCAGACATGCTCATTAAGAAGTATTCAGGCAGCAAGTAAAAAGTCGAAACAATTGCTTTGGTTCACAAATGCATAAATCAACAAAACAAAATCCAACACCTGCACAGCTACACAAACACATCTGCAGCAGAGTGCCGCAGGAAGTAATGCAGCTATTTTACTGGATGTGAAAGTTTGATCCACAGAGGAAGACTATTATTAGACAAAGCAGCTGACTGTGTGTAGAGTGGAGGGTGTCAGCTGGATGATGCATTAGACCACAGTAAAGATATTCAACACTGAACCAAGAAGAATTCAAATGCAACTATGAGAAACTAATTGCTTTATTGCCAAGTTTAAACTTTTGAGATGCTGCACGTTGTCAGTGTTTACCTTTGTGAACATGAAGACCATATATCCCATCAGCCCCTTTTTATTGCTTCCTGTCTAACAGTTCACTGACTGTTTGAACTTTGTTTAATCTCTGAGTGTTTAAAGAAAAATATATATTTAGCCATCAGCTTGAATTGAATTTAGGTTGGCCCTCATGTGCTGAGAGTTTCGGGATTTGTTACCTCTAGAGATTCTGTACGGTAGAGTTCTTGGATGAAGTCGAAGAGAGGGTGAGACTTCCCGAGAAACAACACGTCGCTTCCCAGGCTGTTTCGTTTCACTGCAACAGAGAACAGACAGCAGCTGTGGTCAGGGGGGAGAAACCAGTGAGTACTGGAGAGACTGGAGCTGACTTTACTGTACAGGATTGTTGAGGAGAAAGAAGAGAAGAGGGGATGAGAGGTCTGATGAATGGGAAGACCAGACAAAAGACTGACAAACAAAACTGCCACCAAAGAAAAAACATAATTGAAGTCAGAAAGAGGAAAACAGGAAGAAAGAAGAAAAGGGTAAGACGACAGCATTTAACTGATATTTGGATGATGGTTATAGAAAAAATTTCCAGTGAAGTGAATTGTTTTCTCAACTGTAGTTACAGCGACTAGTACAATTAAAGTATATTTAATGGTTGTCATTAACGTTGAATTTATCTTAATTTATAAAATGTAAAAACAATAATAAAAATACAGAAAGATACATCATTGTAATACAATGTAATACACACATAATGTAATTTGAAAATGTAAAGCAACTAAAAATATATATTTTTTTACAGCTTTAACCTTTCTATTTGTGAAACACAGGAGCTCAAGTGTACACAAATCTGTTCTCATTCTTCAGTTACACTTCACTTTATAAAGTAAATGTTTTTCATTTCAATATTTATATATTGTGAATTTAATCTAATCTGAAGATTCTTTCAATGACAATCATACATAGAAAACGATGTCCATGTCAAACACTTCATCTCAGCAGAGAAACATCTTTGTGTTTCAATGGGGCTTCTGCTCACCTTCCTCAGGTGTCAGGTCGGGGTAGACGTCAGCCAGAGCTGCCCTCAGCCGACGTTCATCCACAAAAGGTAGCAAGGCCACACCTTCGAAAGAAAAAACCCCCGCCACATATACAGGAATTTAACACCTTGTTATATTTGCGCTATGTGCGATCCATTGAGTGAAAAAGAAAAGAACTTCATGCAGATCATGTAATGTGTTGCTTTTGTTTGACAGTAAAGCGGTTGGGTGAAAATAAGAAAAAAACAGCAGTAAGTAAGATATTGCCCTTGACTCAAACAAACTTAATTGTATCCTCCCACCTTGGAAAGCAAACCTAGGCCCTGAGAAGAATAGTGGATAGAACTAGTAAAGTTCCATGAAATGGTCTACAAAACACAGCCTGGCAGAGAATCTATCACCTACAATAGTTTACTTGTAGAAACCCGAAACAATACTGTTAAAAACATATCCACCCACCTTTAAATGCTGAATTATTGATCGGAAAGTTACTCACCCTGCCAGGCGTATTTCTTGCCATTGAGATCAATGGCAAAGTCGTCGGGGTAGAAGTCGATGATGGAAGAATCCTATGTCAAAAGAAGCATTTAAAATGAGATGATAGGAGACTTGGAAAAATACAATCTTCTGATGCACCTCATTCTGGACTCAACACTTACAGGACTGCTCATGAGGCTTCGCCACGTCGGGGGCAGGAAGTTGCCGCTGGCAGCAGGAAACACTCCCATCAGCTGCTCCAGTGGCTTGAACTGCACACACCAACCATACACAAATAGTTTACATAGTCATACTTACTCAGTAGTAGCTTAGTGTGATGAAATTCAACAGTCTTGTCATATTTGATTAAACTGATTTTATTGATTAACCATGTCCATAGTAGGGAGAGCAATGTCATTTCATCAGCAATCCTCTATTGTGATGTGACATTTATTCCTTTGTTGTTATTGCCATAATGTGTAGCAGGCAACTTAATCCTGAATGGTCAATAAAAATATGAAAAATGCTCTGTAAGTTTGTCTGTTTATCTATTTTTATTGTAAAAATTCTAAAACTGTTGTGTTTTGGTGGATTTCTATAATAATAAAAGTTGCAGTTTACTGGCATTTGGTTGGAGCAGCATATTCAACATGCTTTGATTACAAAAACCTTTTCTTTTTTAGAGTGTGATCATGGGGAGGAGATGAGACAGAAGAACAAAGACAACAAAAGATAGAAGTTTTCAGTCCGTTCTTACCGGTTTGGTCCCCTTCTCAAACTCGGTGAACATCCCTTTGATGTCTTTGAAGTCGGAGGCGAACGGAGCGTAGTGGAATGGGAAGTACCACTTCCAGGAGGCACAGCCCTGCAAATCAACATGGAAACAATCACTGACTTTAATATGACATTGACATGTCAGAAGAAATCCCAAGTCTACCACATACTGGTTTACGCACTGCTTGTGTTTTACCAAACAGACCACAGAAACAATACATTTACCATTTAATTAATGCTTCGACTAACGTTTCATAGAGGATTCACATAAATGTCCATTTCAATTCCCCAGGGCAAAAAAGACGTCTATTGTTTTGCATGAAACCCAAAGATATTTAATTAAATATTATATAACTCATAAAAACCCGCTAATCCTCACATTTGAGGAGCTGGAACCGGTGAATGTTTGGCACTTTGGTTGATAAAAGTGATTACTGATCATTTATTAAAATAGCTGTTGATTAACATTGCTGTTCGATTTGGCTCCACACTGAAGAGTTCTCTTATTGCATTTTCATTTTAACTGTTAAACTAGAAGCAATCTCCTGACTATTAAGTTAACAGGACAAAATGAGAAAAAAAAAACCCTAAAAGAAGACTAGGACATGAAAAGAAAAAAGCTTTTCTTTGCCCTTTTTCCACAAACGTTACGCTGCAGCACAAAGCTTAAAATCCAATCTGATCAGACTAATGTGGCTGAGCTGACATTTAAAAACTTCACTGGCCTGAATCCTGATCAGACGAAGTGCGTTTTAAACTCTGTATGGGAGACTGTATGAACTGCCTGCTCAGTGGCTCCAACTCCTAAATTTAATTTCCGCCTGTTGGCGCTACACTTTCAAACTTGTTGCCGATGGTGTGTGGGGGCTGATTTTTGTTACTTGAACTACAATCGTGCAAAAACCAATCCAGTCCTTGGAACAGACTGTATCGTGAAGCCTGGCGCATCTGGGGACAAAATATTCCCCAACACCTGCTGAGGAGCTCTTGCATCTCAAAAATAATTCCCTTCCTCAGCTCTGTGATGCAAAGAAGAGAAAAGGGGGAACAAAAAAAAACATCTAATCCTGCAGATCCAGCATTTGGAACACTTATCCTTCCTGTGCAAACACATCTCACACCAAAGAATGACCTTCACTTCCCACAATCCACCTCTGAGAAAACGAGGCCCTCTGATAAATCCACCAATCCTCACATCTCAGCCAATCTCAGCACTCTATTATTAAAGATGGTCATTCAAATGATAATATGGGACTTTACCATAATAAAAGGTAGAAGAGGCGACAATCTCCACATTCAAATAATCGCACAAATCATTTATGCTAATATGACAAAATGTTTTGTCTCGAGGAGAAATTCATTTGTGACTGCAGCCGGCAGGGTCAAAGACCACAAACCACTAACACAGAAATACATTTACTGTTTCATAACTACTGCCAAAGGTTCATTTGTGTTCTCTCATCTTTCAACGTAATCTTCTCTGGATGATTTAATCATATTGTGTCACTGTGAAAGAAAACAACAGCAGCAAATACAGACATGTTGGCTGCAGACAGTTGCCTAAATTAGGACCGTCTTTATTACCAATTAATCTTTCAATTATTTTTCAGATTTATCGTTTAGTCTTTAAAATAGGAAAGTGATGTAGTCCGAAACAAATGATTACCTTTTCTTTGTCAACAATTAAAACATAAAGCAGAAAACCGCAAATGTTTGGTTGTTTGTCATCTAAAAAAAAAAAAATAAAAAAAAAAATCATTTATTAAACAGTTGGAGAATAATTTTCAGTTTTCAGCATCGTCTAAATAACCATTTGTCTTAACAATCACTGATTCAAATATAAATAATTTTTTTTTTTTTTTTTAAATGTGTCTGTCATTCACAACAGCGGGAAATAAGCAATATCAATCTGATTATTTTATTTACAATTTTGCTGACATTTGATAAATAATAAGAACATCTTCTTGATAGCATCATATCACTTATTTCCAAACGTTTGGTATTTAGTATTTTCGATTAAAATAAAATCAAACCCTCTCATCCAGAGCTTCACAAGGGTTGATTTTGGAAAATTAGAAGTTCTGCTAAAGATTTGGAACAGTCAGTTCGGTTTAAAATGAAATCAAGTGCCCTTTACAAACCAAATATCAAATACAACTAAATAAATTAAATAATTATTAAGAAGCATCTAGATTGTTGATTAAAGCAGACAGGGGACTTTTTAGGGCTTTAAACTGATTTCTTGATTGTATTCAATTTTCACCTAAGAATCCTGACTGATTTGTTTCAGTTTGAATTTTTTAAGTCAAGTAAATTACACAAATACCAATATTCCACATAAAAGTGCTTTTCAGATTGTGTGCTGGGAACCTAGATCTATTTTTATTTGACACTGTTTTCTTTTGATTTTATGAAATTGCTGAGTCCAAAATTAAGCTCAATTGCCAGTTTATTAGGTACAATCCAATACAAAAGTCATGAAAGAAATCTTGCTGAGGTGTTTTATTATTACTTATTATGACTATTAGAAACACCACTTAACATAATGCAATACAATTAGCCTTCAAACTGACCACGAAGTTACATCAACAGCTCACTAAAAACAAAAACTAGACTTTATAACCTCCATAAAGTTTGAATTTATTTCAGGGCTTCAACGGCATGGATTCTAACTGGGTGGTCCAAATAAACTGGCAACTTAGTGAATATACGCACTTTAAAATAAATATATATTTATTTGCGAAACCAAGAAAAATACAACTATAACTAGGAACCACCGCCTACAGATGGGCAGATCTTGTGGTTTTAACAAAAAAGAAAATTGCGATTAATCAGAAAATCGTTTCAAATGATTGAAAAAGAATTAATTTATGACAAAGAGGGTATTGTCTATTGTCGGTTTGATTTTTATAAGAATTATAAAACAGAAACCATATTTTTGGGTCAGCGGTCTCAAATAGACTGTCAGCATGGAAAATGCCGCCTCCATCAGGGTGACACACCTTAAAAACCCAAAGGATCTGAAAAACTGAGATACAGTGTGAAGTGTGAATTTTGTCTTTTGGATAAACCCAGCTCTGCCTTCCTGGATCATTTGGCGAGGTGTGCGTGATCATAACTCTGCAGTGGCGGGTAGGACCGTGAATGTGTGGCAGCAGAGAGCAGACACGTCCCTGTCCGCAGAGGGCCCACTAATGAATTCATCCAGAACAGCCCCCCGAGACAGGCTTTGGATTGGCGAGCATGTGGTGTCAACACAGAACATGCATATAACACAGCTCACAATCAGCCCGGACAAATCCCCCCAACTAAGCCAGAGACACCCTGGCTCTTCTGAAGAGTACCCACAGCTGATTATTTCATTTCAAGATAAAGATCAATATTTTACAACAATAAACTTATTTAGTGTATAATCACACTCCAAATAATAAGTGAAGATATCAGCGACTGCTGTATGGAGGTTTATTTGTTGAGACACTCGACAGTGAGGAGTTCTTGACAGAAAACCTGTCGCTCTGTTAAAAAGACTGGTCCCCCTGTAGGTCTCCTTTCTATGGACAGAATGACTAATGTATGATCTGAGATGATCCATTATAAAAATGAATTTGACTAAAAATAAATAAAACTTAAGACAAAGAATGAGCCTAAAACCCTTTCAACAAACCTGCAGCATGTTTTTGGATCTCAGAGTTTCTTTTCAAAACGGACTTAAACAGCTATAGTTTGTACAAGATAGGAGAGGCTCATCTAGGTTTATCGCAATAACCACGTTAATGAAATACCACAGATCGAAAACTGATAAGAATGGTCAAAGTACACATTAAGACACCAAAACCTTGAGGAACACCATAAAAAAAACAAAAAAAAACACATGCTGTCATTTGGTATCAAAAACAGTTTACACTTCTGTAGGAATTCCATCAAGCGGTTGGAACCAATGGATGCCTCAGGTCATCTAGGTTTATGTGATAACAGTATCCTTACTCTTGCTTTAAACTGAGCCAGCTACAGCCTTTTAAAAGACAGTAATGCTGGCCGATGATGTCTGCGTTCTAGTTTAGTTGTAGAGGTTAAGGAATGCTAAATACAGCTGAACCTTCTCGTGCATATGCGGTCTGATTGTGAAAGGTGAGGGGGGGTCACCAAAATCACTGGAATAGTTTAAAAGGAAGCCAATTAAAAGTTGGTAACACTGATTAAATTTGATACAGAGTAAGTACTCGCAATCTTTCAGGAAAAAAAACACAATTGTTCTGAGCAGAAAAGGCCCATTAAGAGTAAAAACTGTCATGTAACTTCAGGTTGGATTATTTTACTGTGTGAGCGCATATGAATGAAGCCACAGTGATTTCAGTGTTACCTGGTAGTAGTAGCGCAGCACCCAGCAGAGACCCTCCACGTACGACTTAACCACCTTCCGCCTGAAATCCTCATCCGTCACGTCCACGTCAAACTTGGTCTTGTAGTATCTCTGCTTCCAGCCCTCCTCCCACAACCTGCAGCACATATAGACATTGTTATACTTTACTGATCCAACCAATTCAGAAGATGGAACTAGTTTTCCGGACAAAGAGACAGTCCTTGAAAAGAAAGTGGCAAAAATGTAGCAGTCAGCTATGATAAAGAGTCATTAACTGCAGACTTCAAAGCTGAGCAGACACTGTACACTTCTATTAATCCTGTATACTGGATTAACTTGGGATTGGGTGTTTCATGATTATTCTGCTGCAGTTTTTTGGCACCTAGCTCCTTCCACATTTTTTAAACGTAGAAACTTCATTCAAACGTCTAAATATTCGGCTCAATTAGGACAGGTGTGCTAGCATTTAGATAGTTTATACATTTCATACTTTCAGAAATATTCAAGGTTTTCTGGTGATTTTTCCCCATTCATACATAGTGAGGAATGTTCAGAATTCACAGTTTTTCATGAATTTTCAACTCTTCATACTCTCAGCTACAAACTCCATTCAGACATTGAATAGTTCTACATCTTTCAGACATTTTAGCTAACATTCAACTTTCAAATCACATTGAAACTTTTTCAAATATTCAACCTGTTTCTAAAAAAAAAGTTACAATGGAAATCAATTAGAAAACCCTTCAAACCTACTGACCTTCAGCCTCTTCCCACTCATTCATACATTCACATAGAAACTCCGTTCAAACTTGAACATGTTCACGCAAATAGGACTTTCACACATTAATTCAGCTCAGTGTGTGTGGCGCAAAATGTTCAGAGCTAGAACGGGAGACATGTAACTGTGGAAGCAAACAGACTTAGATTTTAGACTTTTAGATCTATGAGCTTCCAAGTGCCAACCAAATGCCGCATTAACACCCATGTTAACCTCTTTTTCTTGGCTATTAGATCAAACAGCGTCAAAACAACAGATGTGATAATTGTAGTATAAATGTACCTAAATTCTACATTTGCTTATTAAAATAACTAGTTTTGAGGACGCTGCTCTGTTCATCTATAGGCTGAAAAAAACTGCACTAACTTCCTCACTGTTGCTGGAATAGTTTAATGGATTTGACTTCTTGGTAGATTTGGGGCGGCAATGCCGTTCTGCACACATAATCAAGGCCGTCCAGCATCTGTGTCGTGGATCCTCGGAGCGGCCCGCAGGGAGCACCGACTCCTGAGAGGAAAGCCTCCATGAATACCAATTTAGCCCGATAGATTTAGCAGCTTTGATGAGTGCGTCACAGAGGAATTTACTCGAATATTCCTGCTTTCCATATTAATCACGTGCAGAAGAAGGTGGGAGCTGGGGAGAGGGGTGTGTGTGTGTGTGTGCTGGAGAGGTGGCAGAGAGTTAAACAGCTTGTGCAGTAGCACTGTGGCATTAATGAGCGGATCTTTATGGTTGTGTTTGTTAACACCATCTCCGCTGGTTGAGGTTGATATGTATAGATTTATTTTAAAGTTATTTTATTGAGTACAGGCAAACTGTCTGGTGGACACAGACAGTTTTTTCCACAGAATTAGATTCTGTTTGTAACCACGCTACCCTTAATAGCTATGCTCCAGTATATCACAAGGTGTGTGCACAGAGTGACAGTTAATGGGAGCAGATGAAGAGGTGAGCAGTGAAGCTGTCAGTTTAGCAGAAAATATACTGTGTATGTTGTTGTGTTGTTTCCCCAACTGCTAGAAAAGTGAAGGGGGTTATCGTTTTATCACGTTAAAGACAATGTTAGGCAGGGTCAGTTGTTAATGTGCTTGTGAGACAGAGAGCACAGGGGCTGAGCGAATCAATACACTATGTACCTCTACACTGAAGTTTTTATCAGTTACTACGTGGTAAAACTGAACATAATATTCATTGGTATGTTTTCCATAGTGTATAATCCCCTCTCTAATTGCTGTGTTTTAGTTACCTTAATCTGAGCCATTTTTAAAGACACCTTGCTGAACCACCATATTTCTACAGTATTCCAGAAAGAAAAAAACAAACACTGGCTCTAGATATTTTTTTGCTGCATTTTCCCCCTACAAGGCTGAGCTGTATTCAAATGGTTGCAATCTGCAACTTCACCACTAGATGCCACACACAGGTCAATTACAGGAGAGTGCAATACTAAACTGGTGGAGACACAATTATGTGCCACTTGTATTGGCATACTTCCATAATATATGACCACAACTAAGAGACTTTGGAGGTCTAACAGGTCCATCAAGTCTTCGTCACTAAGAAGCAGATGTAAACACTAGTTTGCATGCTTACTTTCCCACAACGCCACCCTGACATCACCCACCCAGCTTGTGTAGGTTTACCTGACGTTGTCTTCAGGCTCCGGCTCGCTGTCACTGTCATCAGCTTTCCTCTTCAACCCCTTGCTGTCTGTGCTGTCGCTGGGCCCTGCAGAAGACTGGGCAGGGCGACAAAAAACAAAGGAAATATGCAGATCAACAAACAAACAAAACTATGTCATATCTTAAAATTAATTCAAATGTTATTTCAGTATATCTGATGGAGGGTAAAAGGAGTAAACATCCCTAGTAAACCCTAACAACCGAGAAGGTAAAATTCAGGAATGTCTGGCATCTTCGCTCAAAACGTGACTCAAACAATTAATCAATTATCAAAACAGTTGCTTTTTTGGTCGATTGATTAATTGATCAACCGACTACAAATTTCATCTGTAAACATTTTCCATTGAGCAGAAGTGTAATTTTTAACACGTAAGCTCACACCCACATCACCTCACTGTTCAACAATGTCTAAAATTAAATCCATATTTTATACACACATGTATGACAGATAAACATGTATTCAACAGGGACGTTTGTTGCTAAATCATAAAAATAAATCATACGATTATAAAAGGACACGGACAATGAATATGTCAAAGAAACTGCACTACTGTCTGGTACAGCTGCTAATATGTATGTATGTGGTTTCTATGTTTGAAGGATGGAACGAAAAAACAATCACTACCGTAGCTACTTAGCCTTCCTTTTTTTCCTGAAGCCTTTATGCTCTTTTCATTCATGTGCTAATGTATGGCCAGCTATTGTCGGCCGATACATTTAACGACGTACACGGGGAGGAAATTTAACAACTTAACAATCACATTAATAGAAACACGACCATGAACTCAACAACAAGACGGCGTCCACATTCTAACAGACAGCTGTCAGCTACAATCCAACTTATATGAATATAATATAAGAAAAGATGACAAAATGACGGACAGACATTTTAACTAGTGTCTAAGTCTAGAGACATTTTCATAGTTTGCTAAAGGAAAGATTACCTGCTAGAGAACAAGATGCTTTTTATTCAAGAAGAAATAAATGTTTAATTATGTATATCCAGCAAAAATTACACTGCGTTCTACAGGCTCCAGCTAAGTGGCTCACATTAAAATCCAAATCCATGTAACACACAAACCCTCCAGAGTAAAGAAGGGCAGAAGATTGTAAGGTAAAAAGGTTTTTAGTAGTTTATGATGGCTGATTTGTAATAATGTAAAACAAACAAAAATATGCTGTAAAATATGCTTAAAACAAGAGATAATGAAGATATAACGGTCAACACTGGCTTCCTAAGTGGACCAGAACCAGAGGATTGGTTCTATTCTTGCAATTTAAATAACAAAAATTTAAATAGGAGGAATATATTCAAGGATGTATTAAGTGTTACGTCTTTTAATTTTTCTCATAAATGAATACAGGATGTAACCGTTTTATGGCTGAAAAATTCTGAGATTTTGTATTTTATTAACATACAAAAATCAAATGAAACCAAACCAACAATGCATGTTTTATGTGCACATGTCCAGCTTGCATTTCACATAGAACTTACATTGCCACCGTTCTTCAACGAGGCTTTCAGGGACTGAGCAGCATCCTGCAAAAAAAGACACTTCATGACTGCACTCCTACGATTTATCCATAACCATGTTATATTGCAAAATGTCCTCCCCTTCGTGACTGGATCTAAAGATGACCGCTTTACTCAAAATATTACAATATGTAATTGGACAGCAGCCTCAACGACACTATATATGCAAAATATTGATGCAACGTCTATCAGTTTTTCAAAATTTTGCTGTGATTATTCTCCTCACTGACATATTAGGATAAGAGAGATCAGTAGAGTGGAAAACAACTCTGTAATTCTATAATCCACAATACATAAGTCAAATACTATACTTTGAATTTCCAATTTCCTTTTATTTCCAAATAAAAGCACACAGTTTACTCGAGATATCATCTAGGATTAACAAATCAAACAGCTTCAAAGAACTTAATAGGGATTATATTAGCCTGCTAACAGCATTTGCCTGAATTTGAAGAGTTGTGCCATGGTCTGCATGGGAGCCTTTTTTTAAAACCAGGAACTTGTGAGAATCTTTTTCCAAATCTTCACAGAAACTTTATATTGTGTATAAACAAGCTGTCCAACCTTGTTGTGTTGCTCCCTGGACTGCATCCTCATGTCGTAGGCCTGGTGCCGAGCATTCTGGACAGCCTCAGGTCGGTCTCTTCTCCCGAGAGCCTGAGGGGCAAACTGGCCTGTGGTCATGTAGGCTGGACCTCGCTGTTCTATCTGCAATAATACAGAGAGAAAAACAATTCAATCAATTCTAATAAACCTTTAGTGAACATCAAAATCAGAGAGTTTGGACCACTGTCTATCGAGATGATGGACAGGAAACTTGACAATATGGCAGGGCAGAAGGATGGACTATTGCTGATGATCTTATGTGGTGACCTTGACACATCTGTGATAAATCTAAAGCTATTCCTTGATGACTGACAACCTTTTAATGTGATGGAAACAAGCGGAAAAATACTTAAAGAATGCTGAAAAACAAAACACAAAAACCATCCCTTATTCTGAACATAAACACTTCAGCTCCTATCTGAGAATGTTAAGATGATAGTGAAATAAATGCAGTTTAGAAAATAAATAAACAGGTGTAGCGTTTTCTTTGATGATTATCAAACACTGTGAGAGATGTATGCCAACATCACACGATCAAGAAGAAATTGAAAAAGTAGAAACTTGAACACACTTGTGAGCTCCAATTATTTTATCAGTACAAGGCCATCACTGCTGCAGTTCATCTTCTAGATGCACAATTGTCTATCACTGAAGAAAAACTTAACACCGTTCATATTTTAGCATATTCATATCTACCTCTTGCTGTTTATTCTATTTGTTACTATACCAACTATACATATGTAAGTCTAGATGCTAATCTGCATGTTGTATTTGTACATAATGGCAATGGCGTTAAATCTAACTCTTCAAATTTTGTCAATAGTTTTTTCAGGCTAGCTTGTGTAAAAAATATCATCATCCTACGACAACTGCTTTACTCACCTTCATCCTCTTTCGTTTTTCTTTCATTCTTCTCTTAAAGCCTTCCTAAAAAGAAAAAGTCAAGACTTTTACAATAAGACAATTACTCAAGGTTAGACCAGAAATATATATAATGCTACTGTGGTTAACTGGCCTGGCTGTAGCTAGCTGTGTGATTAAACAGCAGTTTCTGTATCTTATGGCTCGCTATCATTTGAACTTGACTTTTGGTACCAAAACAATAACATTTAAGAACTTTCCGTTTATAGTTCTCAAAATTAGGCAATGGAGGAAAGTCCTTACAAGGAAGTATCATTGTGTGTTGATTCTGGTGGCCCATGTGGACCTAAGTGGTAGTGTTTCTACCGCCTTGTTTAATTTATTCTAAGGCAAATCCAACCTGCTGGCAGGCATTAAGAATAACTACATAGAAATGTTTCATAACTAGTTAAAACTCCTTGTTGTGGGTCTAACTGTTGTCTTAACACAAGAAGCACTAAAATAACATAAAATAGTCTAAAACATTATGATTTCAATCAGGAACTATCTGAGAATAAACAAAAAATAAACTGATAAAAACATCTTATACTTGGGCTTCCAAAATACTACGAACACATTTCGGCCCTCATCAAAAAAGGCGTGATACAAAGTGACTTTATAAAGGCAAAATTGTAATGATCATTGTGTGAAATAGTAGAAATCTTACATCGTCCTCTTTGCGTTTCTTAAAGATGTTGTCCTCAGCCACGCCCACCGCCTGCATGATCAGCTCAACTCGCTCCAGATTGACAAAACCATTCTCTGTCAGGTAGCCCTACAGACAAACACAGGCCTGGTTATAGCACTGTACCAGACAGTAATTTGACAGCGACAGAAATTTATGATGATACCCACTCCAGTTTTATGCACAACGTCTTTGTAGATGTTGACCAGTCGATCAATCGCACCCTCTCTGTAAGACACAAGAGCGACACCAGTGAGTAATTAATCAGTCAGTGTCAATTTAAATGGGGATACACATTGGACTGACACCAAACACTAGTCTATCTTTTAAAGCAACAGGAAATTTGGCTGCCCTATGAGCCACTCTGGCGAGTAACCAACAAACATTTGGAGCTCTATTTTATCTGTGTACAAGAAGAACAGAAGTCTGAGTCTCTCCATCAGTTTTCAGGCTGATCAGTGTTGGAGGTTAAAGTAAAGAGATGGGAGAACTACAATCACTGTGAAAGTGAATAATCAGACTGTCTTCTGTAGAGAGTAAAGAAAAAAACCTGCACCATCTAAACACAATACAACTATCCTACAATCAACCCTGTTTTTGTGAAGCTTAAACAAAGCTGAAGTCTCACCCATGTCTGGGTTTGCTCATGGAATAACAGCCGGCAGGAAACATAAGTGCAGCCTTTTTAATTTATTTATTATACCCCGGTACTGTTTAAGGTCTTTAATTTAGATAACTGAGAACTGTTTAAGTTTTTAAAAAGAACCAACACATACAATCGCTACCACTTCAAAATATTCAAATTATTCAAATCAGCTCTCAGCATAAAAAGATGCCCGAAGCTCACCTGATTTCTAAGGACGGCAGGTGTGGTAGGAAGTCATTTCCAACAAAGAAACACATAAAGACCCAGTCATCGATGCTCCTCTCAAAGTCAAAGGGAAACGGCAGGCTGGCCATGGTCAGTTCTCTGGCGAGGTACTGAAAGCATGAAGGAAGCATAATAAAAGAAGGTCATTTGGCAGGTTCTTTTATCTGTAAAGCCAAAGTTCGCTTTTGCAACCGTTACAGTTCAAACAGACATAAATATACCCAGAAAAAATATATACAAAAATTACAACCTGCGAGAAATGAGAATAGTGCTTGTCATTACTCTATTAGGACATTTTTAATGAAGTTAAAAAAGTTTAATGAACATGTCATTTCACTTTTTTAATGCCAGAAGGCAGCAATGAATATCATAAAGCTCATACCTCCCGCAGTACACAGAGCCTGATAAATATGAACTCCTGTTCAGACACTGGCATTGAGTCTGCAAACTCATCATGCTGAAAGAGAAAAAAACACAGATATCAGTTGTCTCACTAATGGCACATTTCTGGATATACAGAGAGAAAGTTGTTATAATTTAAAGCATTAACAAATCTGCAAATATGACAGCAATTATTGTAAAATTCACATTAGATTGAGAGAAAGCCAGACTGGAAGATACTGGCATTCACTCCACAGTTGCAAGGCGTGTTTCTATCCAAATGTATCGCAAATTTTAACTGACTTTTTAGTAATTGGGCAAAAGAAAATGCAAATGAATACTTGTTTCCTATTTTTTGCAAACAGTCAAGAAACTTAATATCCAGAAGTACAAACAGAGCTCACCTCTCCCTGTTTCTCTCTGGCCGTCCCTTGACAATCTTTGATTTCATGACCAATCTGTCCACAGAGTGCGCAGGGACGGGGTTTGTTGGGTTTAAACTCCTCTCTGATGATGGTGAAGTTTGGCTCGTGGGTGGCCAGACCCAGCATGATCAGGTCAGCTGATTGTCAGTCACCACACAAAAAGAAAAGGTGTTATTTTGAACACTTAACATGAATTTTCTTTCATTCATTGCTTTTAAATTTCAGAAGGTGGACTTAAAGGCTTACCATCAGCTCCACACAGGCAGTGGTGAGTGTTGGGGTCGTGGTTGGGTTGAGCTGTCAAAGCGAATCACAAACATGTCAGAATGTCTCACAGTGTGTGTGTGTGTGTGTGTGTGTGTGTGTGTGTGTGTGTGTGTGTGTGTGTGTGTGTGTGTGTGTGTGTGTGTGTGTGCGCGCGCGCAGAAGATTCAGACTGGGAAAATGATGTGTGATATTGATTTGTCTCATATGTTTTATTTTGTATTTTCTTGTAAGGCTGTCATTTTTGAGATTTTTAATGTTTAGTCTTGTCTGTTTTGACTTGTGGTTTTATAAGTTAGTTTTATAACTTTTGTTGTTTATAATTTATCATACTACAGTATGTGCTTTAAAGTAATCCCTTGTATGTAACAAGCAATCATCACTTATTAAAATTCATCAGTGTACGGCAGCTGTACCTCTCTGTCTCCTGATGTAGTCCATAATCTTGTGTTCACCTTCACCGGGAACACTGGCATCAGACAGAAAGACCTGGACAACAAAGAGTTATGGTTAAAGGTTGGTGAGTGAACACTGCCCATATAAACATACAACCAGGGTGCAACATGTCAACTGTAGAGAGCTGAAAACTAACAACCACAACAAAGTAAAAAGGGACAGTTAATTTTGTTATTCCTTGTTTAATGGAATAATCTGCTTATTTTGAAAAAGAGAGGCTTCCTCTCAGCGAAACCTCCCTGAATAAATAAAGATCTATCACATGTTTTAACTATAAAATGTCAAAAACAATTATAAATTGCTGGTAACATCAAGCAGCAAGGTTATACGCACTGTGACATTCCTCCATCCAGGATCATTGCTGACTCTGTCTGCGACGTAGTACCGAAGACACTTTGCCAAGTTGTCCATGAACTCTGTTCCCTGGAGACAAACAGTTAGATTAGTTAGAACACACAACCTTTATTTACACAAAAAAAAACACATTCAACAACATAAAGTAGTAAAGTTATAATAAACATAAAGTAACAAATAGCCATAATAGAAGGTCTAGCAAAATGAAAATGAATATCACAGAAATTAACGAGATGCACGATTCACTTTTTATCTGTTCGGGTCCGATCACGATACCTGAATTTGGATATCTGCCGATACATATCTGTTAAATCATTTCTCTGACACTTGAACTCGGACAACCAGACAGATAACATAAGTATGACTGCAGGCTGCAAGTCATGTCTGTCCCTCTTTGTACATCGATCTGTCTTTCACCTACTTTCTTCCTCTCGCTTTCTCTATCTTGCTGATCCTCACACACACAAATCAGGAGTAACAAAAAAGCAACACCAAAAAAATTAACTCCAGTAAAGCCCCATAACAGCATCAAACTATGTAATGCAGATCGATATGTGGATCTGCGATGTCCGGCAGCTGATGTGTGAATGAAGTTATTATTGGCACCTCAGTATACCGATACTGGATTGGACCCAACTCTAGGATGTAGTACTTATCCCACTTACCGGAGTGATACAGTTGCTGTCAAACCTCTCTTTAATCTCCTCAGGTGGAAGATATCCTCCTGTAGAGGAAAAAACATAGCAAGTAAGGTTACACTGAGCATGCAGCTACAGATTACTGCACAAACACACAATGAATCTTCTATCAGAAAACAACACTAGTAGAACTGTAAATCATGGGGGATTTGTTTACTCATCCAGAGTGGGTTGTCTGATTAATTCAGGACTTTTCAGAAAGTTTAGTCAATGCATTTTGAAAGTTGCTGGCCTGAGTAAGGAGCCTTGAGACGTAAAGAGAGTGGTTTCTTTTGCGTCCTACCAGTAGGAAAATGATAAGTAATGTTTTGTACCATCTGAGGTTTGTACAAACTGTATAATCTAAAAGAAAATCAGTCAACATACATTCTGTATTTGCTATCAAGCAATGTAAGGATTTAAAAAGATCACACACCTCTCGCCAGGATCTCCTCCCTTATGCGATTCTTCTCATCCACCAATTCCACTCCTTCTTTGGAGGCACGAAAACGCCGAGAGCGCTGCTGGTTCATTTTGGCCCTTGGAGCCTGGTCATAGATAAGCAGGATGTTATTTCTAATTTACAGCAGGTGATTTCAGGTTGGTCATTAAAGCCATTTCCATGTGTGTATTAAATCAGATAATAGATTATTTTCAATAGGATAGATGAATGAGAATATTATTGAGCAAATGAAAACAATATTTGACTGATAAAATAAAATCTGTTAGATCTGATAAATGTTTGATTCTCTGGAGGATATTCAAATTAGCTCCAAAACACATGCAAACTTTGCTCTGTATGCAGGATTCTGTAAGTGAAAGGTGCTTACCACTCCATCAATGGCCATATAAAGAACTCTCCTGGGTCGCACAATATTGAACAGGCGGTCAATGTACTCAAAAATGGCAACCATCATCTCATCTTCATTTTTGGGAGCAGCTCTGTGGACAGCAGAGATCAGAGAGTAGTTTAATTTTTAATCCCTTATTTATGCTGTTCTTATTTGTAGGGATGTATCATTCCAAACATTTAAAAAGTTCCCTTATATAGTACAAGCAACCAAGTTGTAGAATATAACTTAAAGCACTTTATAAATGGGAGGAAATCCCACAGACAACATTCAAGTCCCTTCATCAATAATGCTCTCAATGCAATATAGGGCTGCAACCAGAGATAGTTTTATACATCAATTAATCTGTGGACTATTTTTCAGATGAGCAAACCAAACCTCGACAGAAAAAGAAACATACACGTTATCACTAAAATGTCTCGCAAACAGAAACAAAAAGTATTTTCCCTACTTGTCCTCTGGATGTGTACAAGGGTGAATGATCCCGTTCATGTCCAAGTACAAATTGTCGAATTCCACCTCGTTGGGGTTTGGCTTGGTTGTATCAACAGGAATACGGACTCCATTACATTCTTTCCCCTGCGAAGATAAAACAGATAACGTTGTCTGAAGATGCACCAGGCCTAGACAACTGACACAATTATTACACACATGGAAAACTCTTAAAACAAAAGGAAGAAGTAAGGATGGGACGATATATTATGACAAAAGACACTCATATAAATGTATCTTGGTGAATTTTCCATTATCCGGATAATCATGAACCAGGCTAATTGTGAATATATTCGTATAGTTTGACTTGAAAAAGCTGTGTAGTTGAGCAGCATACAGCCCGATATTGATTGACAACAGGGAGCCTCTTTCCTGAGCAACCTCCAACAAAAAATAAGCTTTAATAATAATAATATTAAATAAGTCAAACCGGATGTGTGTAAATAGATTCAATACTAACATAATGGGACATGAGGTCTGCAACGCAATGAATGTGTGTTTCTTAACAAGATGTGAGCATTAAGTATAATTTTATGATTAACATTTTCATATTGTCCCATGTCTAGAAAGATGATCATCTTTATTAATCCCCAATTCTTTCACTCAGTTTGATTTAAATGCAGTCAGGGGCTCGGTGCTTTGCTCAAGGGCAGCCCGGCAGCGCAGAGGAGGAAGAGGAGGAGGAGGAGGAGGAGGAGGAGGAGTCGACTCCTCCTTAATTAACGTTAACTACCGACGCACACCCGTTACAACCCCCCCCCTTGAATGTCACCGTTAAAAACATCTTAATAGTGCGTTAATATTTAAAATGTTAGCTGAGGCGGGAAAAGTCGTCCAATGCACAACAACAACAACAACAACAACAACAACCACGCGTCATTACAGAAAGCCGGTCAGTATCTTTCTAACAACATGGACGTTTAAACATTCACATTAACCGTTAAATAACCGTTAAATAACCGTTGACCGTTGGCTTCATAGAGCGCGAACGTAAACGGTAAAATAACGTCTTTTGTAAGTTGAGGACAAACCCCGCGCAGTTTTTTTTTTTTGTTTGTTTGTTTACAAAGAGAGAAGTCCACAAACTTCCGTCGTTTAATGTACACGAACTGAAACCTTAAAAATAAAATAAAATAAATTAAAATAAAAAAAAAAGGCACAATGAGTACTTAGACGGTTGTCCCGCTAACGGTTAACGTAGCTCAACATGCTATTCACTTACCTTCTCCTCAACACAATGCACAATTATTGACGCGTATTTGCGGCTAAGCCAGCGGAAAAACGCCGGGACTCCCATCTCCGGTGGAAAACTCGCTTGTCCGTCAGCTTCTAAAAAAAAATATTAACTCGTACAAAACCGGTAAAACAGCTCAATTAAAACGGGAAACTTGATTTCAGTCCCACAGTTCAGTTACATGCTGTTGGCCATGACCGATTGTGTACTGTTTCCGGTTTATGTCGTCTTTTTCCGGAGCATTCCAGAGGGTCGCACCGGCCTACAGCGACCCCCAATGGCCATAAAGCGGTACTGCAGGCAGCTCATTGATTTTTTTTTTTTTTTTTGGTAGTCAAGCATTTGTAACATCCAAACATCTTAAATGTTATATATGCACTGTAAACTTCATTTTTTCCCCCGGCACTAAATTCATTTATTTGTGTCATATTCAGTTATTTAATTATTACATTTCAATATTAGTTTTATTTATTTAGGTTTTGAAATTGTCTAATTGTTGTACTAATCAAGTGATCAGTCTGTTTACCATTTTTTATTAATTTTTTTTGTTTTAATTACTGAAGTACCTTATATTGGTTATAAAAGATTGTTAAAGTCTTTGCACTTTATGCAAACATTGTATACAATTGAGACATCTAAAACATCAAACAACTGACTCTATAATTTGAAATGTTTCCTAAACCGGTTCTTGTTGGCTAATTGATTATATGATTATGGGCTGAAAAGATCAAATCAACAGAAAAAGAATCAATAAATTTGATAATTGATTGAATTGTTTAGCGTTATCAGCTATAATCAAGTATACTCTTATATTTATGATTTATATGATGATTATTTATTTGTATCCTCATTAGATGTTGGCAACAACTCATCCTGGGGTCCTTAATAAGTCAAGTCAAGTCAGTTTTAGTGCACATCACCGTTTATCCTTACACCCTTGATTCGATGAGGAAAAATCCCCCCAAAAAGCCCTTTTAAAAGAGGAAAAAAACACAAGAAACCTCAAGAAGAGTAACAAGAGGAAGGATCCCTTTTCTCAGGAACACCATGTAGTGTGTACAGAATAAACCCACATAGTTAAATTCCAGTACGGACAATATAATCTATAAAAAAAAAATTACAGATCGATTGTAAAATATATGAGGAATATGGATCCGAGAAGATGTGAAGCAACAGACCTGAGTCACATGACCTCCTCTCTACAATGGAGACCTGGAAGAGGACACGCGGGGCAAAGTTCAAGCTCACCGTTCACACAGATATTATTGAAGCGTACACGTCACTGTTACATTTCCAGATCTGATAATACTGACATACTGATAATACAGGAATCTTTAATTCGCCTTCTAAATGCTCTTTGTCATTACAGCTGTTTTGTAATCGTTGTGTTAATGTGTATGTGTCCCTGCGATCAGTTTACTGCTGATAAATTCAGCCTTCAAAGGTCCAGTGTGTAGGACTGCAACCCCCCTCGCCTTACTCTCCTGTTCCAAGCGTGCAGGAGAAACTACGGTGGTTGTGAAAGGCACGAAAGGCCCTATCTGGAGCCGGTGTTTGGTTTGTCCGTTCTGGGCTGCTGTAGAAACATGGCGCTTCAACATGTTGGCCTCTGTGGAAGAGGACCCGCTTCCTCTGTAGCTTTTTTCAGGTGATTATACTTATTATATTCCATTTCTTCAACTAGATCCTCCTTAATGTCACACACTGGACCTTTAAAAACATGTTGAAAGTTTCAAATAATTGAAGTAATAATGATAATTATTGTTGTTAATTTCATTAAGGGTTGAATTTTGCGTGTTGTATTGAACAGGAAACCACAAAATACCACCAGGTGTGTGAAATGCATGAGCCAGACTCGTGTCCACAGTCCCCGTAATTGTATGGTGGTTGAATCTCCACCCTCCACCGTCTGATGTTACATAATGTTCCTTTAATGGGGACTCTCTGAACAGATGCCCTCTCGCTTCCCAACCCTGCAGCACCACATTTAAGGTGAATTTGATTTCCCCCCCCTACTCATCTATCTGGTTCATGCAGGGAGAAAGGGGGGCTGGGGGAGGGCCATTAGTCTCCCCTCTTGAGGCAGGGTGGGTCTGACATCAACACTGCAGTATTATTACTGCAAAGAGCTGCTGATGGAAAACACTTGGCCTGCTCCGACGGGCCATTTCCATAAACATTTACGCTAGAGTTGCAGGTAATAGGATGAAACCATCATTTCAGTGTTTGTGGAGAGAAACAGAGGAGATGAAGGGAAATCTGATGCAAATCCCAGATGTGAGAGCTCCGACACAAACCTCCCACTCAGACAGAGACAGCTGAGGAATGTGACATGAAAATATATTATGACAGCTGCAGATGACGCATTTTACTACATTTATATTAAAGAATTAAGCTGATTTTGGACTTTGGCTTATAGACTACAATTCCATAAAGACCTTGTTATTAAAATGGTTAAATGTAGTTTACCAAATCAAACTCAGAGCAGTATTTAACCCTAAAGTTTCCGTTTCCAAGACTCTTCCAAGAAAGTGTTTCAGTCAAACAGCTGAAAACTGTTTTCTTACATCAAACAGGATGAAACCGAATCAAAACATACAGGTTGAGTCTTTTCTCAGTTTGTGAGTGGGCTGACTTTTCAATATTCTCTGACTCGATTTCCCTCCAAAATCCAGATGACTTAAAGAGAGAGAGCGCCCTCACCTGGTGAACCATCACCATTACAACCAATAGGAAACCTCATGCCAGCCTTCAGCCCCCCGTGTGTGTGTGTGTGTGTGTGTGTGTGTGTGTTTTCATGCTTTGGCATTTGTCATTTTAATCTGTCTCATTTCAGATATTTCATTATCGAACATTCGGGCTATAACATATATGATAGTTTATACAAGCACAGCTGAAACAATTAATCAATGAATCAATTAGTCGACTGTAAAATCATGTAAAAAGGCTTCATGGTTCCAGCTCAACTAATATAAAGATTTGCCTCTTTTGCTTTTAATTATTTAAATAATTTAAATGTATTTGTAACAGTTTTGAGGTTTGGGCTGTTGGTTGGCAAAACAAGCATTGTGAAGGGGTCACTTTGGGTTTTTGGGTAATTGTGAGAACATTTCTCACTATTTTCCTATTTTTTTTACAAACCAAACAATCAATCGATTAATGGAGAAAACAATGAGCAGAACATAAAAATCCATAATGAAAATAATCATAAGTTGCAGCCCTTTACAAAATACTTCACAATGAGCTCCACGTCAACCAACTGCAACAGTAAAACATTGATGTATGAGTAATACTTAACTACTTTAACTTGTAACAGAATATTTTTACAGGGTGATATTAGTATCTAGGATCTGAATACTTCCTCCACCATTAGCCTTAGACTTCTTCACTGTTGGCACCCCTTCTTGTTTAAAACTGAAAATGTTTGAAACTGTTTAGTTGCAATTATTCCATACGGAGAGTGCATCAGTATGTGAAAGAGTGGCACACAATATAAACAAACATTTGAAAAATATAAATGCAATTTCTTGGCTTTTACAGTTCATACAAACTTAAAATACAGTCTTGGGATGTAAAGTTGCTCTGGAGTTAAATCAATGACATTTACTGTTCCATTGGGTTTAATTACAGCAGTCAGGACTGAAGAATGATGATAATTATGTGTAAATCATATAACACAGCAAATCATTGATTTGCAGCACACAAGGCCTCTGCTCATTTAGACTGCAAGTATTATACACACACACACACACACACACACACACACACACAGTGATAATGCATCATCTCCTTCAGGCGTTAAATCTGAAACAAAACACTGGAACAAACTTTCTGAGGATTCATTTTGCACAAGGACGCTGCTGCAGCTCTCAGTTAAGTATTCAAACAACAATTATTCTCCTTTAATCTCTGGTTTAGGAGATCCAGGAGTTGATCTGTGTGTCTGTGGGTTAAACTCACACTTTAATGGTCCCACACCCCCGGTGCTTCGCTACAGGGAGTATTTTACACACAAGATATGAATCATCTGATTAATAGTAGTTTAATGAAAGAGCTCGTCAAGGAAAAAGGATCTCTTTTTCCGTGGTGTTAGTCCAATTCAAACTGCACTGTAGTTTCGTGCTAACAAATGCGTTAGCGCTCCTTCGTCCTCGCGCCTTTGATTAGCTGATCCCTTTGGCCTGCACATGAAAAGCTCAGCAGGAAGTCACATGGTTTAATACAGCAATTTGTGTCTCCAAGGTTGTGATGTGTCCTCAGCGGCTCGCAGAATGTCTTCACATCTGAGCCTCTTTGAGTTGGTTTCTACCCATTGTGCCGCAGGAATAAAGGCCTGCCGCGTTTGCGTTTTTTATCCCTCCAATGAAACGCTACACAGATTGAAACTTCTCATTTGGTCTCCCTTTTAGCAGAATTTCACAAAACACTGTGATGTTTCTTTGTGGAAAGAAATTTTGGGTGCCATAGGGGACAGTGTGATTGGTGACATTTTGGATCATCAGTAGAAAAACTTTAACCTTAAAGGCGCCATAAGTAAGATTCTGAAGCATTTTACGTATTATTTTGATATATTTATCACTTTTTGTAATGTAATGTAACTAAAAAGATGACTGACTTTCTTGGTTGCCTGTAGACCGATTTCTATGCGCGGTCTCGAGTGCCTTCTCCCGCTGCTTCCCTACAATGTCAACAATCTGCAAAACTAGCTGAAGTTCGCTTATAAGTGGAGTCTGCTAATGTCAACCAACTACCGACTCCCACCAAAGTCAAAGTTAACATTACTGCAAAACTTGTGAAGTATATTGTGGTTTTAGCTATCTACTGTTACAGACAAATTGATTGCCAGCTGATTACTGTCTTTAGAGGATAAATACAATACAGTTCATCATGAGGGAGACATGCATGTGTGAACTAAATGTCATGGCAATCCATCCAGGAGATTTTGAGACATTTCACTTTAAAAAAAAAAAAAAAAAGATAAGATATTTCTTCTGAACCAGAGCGGTGGTCTGACATTTGCATCCTACAGCCATGTTGCTCGCATGTCTACAAACTCGTCTTTACACCTGTCAATCAAACACCACCCTTCCTGTTTTAATTGTTCAGCCTCATTTCCTTATTTATTTATTTTATATATTAATTTACTTATTAATTAGTCTGTTTGTTTACTGATGTTATAAACTGTTAAAAACATCCTTGATCTCCATTATGGACATTCGG